TGTCAGCAATTGTGAGTGATGCCAATACAAGCAACCAGCAAGGCATTCCGCCACATGTTGATGACGGCAGCAGTTGGTCTTCATGGTAGATCCCAAGACATGTCAGCCCTCCAGTACATATCAGGCTTTCTTCTTTCCCACCCATGGTGGTTGTACTCAGAAGGTACTTTTTGAATATGCTCATGATATGTAAAACGTTTTTAATTATGGCAGTAATTTTCAGTATAAAAGCACCATGATTTCTTATTAAATTGCCCCAGGTGATTGCAACAATGTTTATGAACATGGGTGACATAAGATACCCTTTAAGTGTATAAGCACTCATCTTCCATCAACAACAGTATTCTGACAGTCTGATGTAATACATGGCAGCAAATTATTAAGTTCTAGTAAGCACTGTATTTATGTGTGTATGCATGACAGACTTACAACACCATTACCACTAATTATTCACTTCCAGCATTTACACAGGATTATTATGATTCCATGTAAATTGTTTCATGTATTTCTTGAAGGAAAGTGGTTGTAGAAGTAGTACATCACAATAACTCAACTATTTAGTCCATTTTTAGTTACATACCTAATCAAATGTATTTCTCTTTCAAGGCTATTCAGAGGCTGTCACAGTATAGGATTCACTATGCATCCAGTTACATTACATCAAGAAGCTGCTTTCTTGGGAAAGTGAGCTTCAGCTCAGAGATCAAGGATATGAAGAATGAATGGGCTGCTGGAGGACAGAAGAAGTATCCAACTGATTGCGACAATTGGGATAAAACATTCTGCCATCCTACAGGACCTCGACAGGAAAACTGTATCACTTCATCTGTTTAACATGTATGCTACATTGTTGACATGAATCTGCCCACAGCCATCTGCATCCTATACAAAAAGTTATAAATGCCATTGGATTTGGAATTGTTGACCTTTATACATCCACCCAAAGGAAGAGCAGGCTTTGTTTCTGGAGAGAGATGACATTCCTGTTTTCTTAACATCAGTCATTGCTAATCACCCTGAGCTGAACAGCAAGTTTGGAAAAAATCTTCCCTCAGCATCTACCATTGATGAATACAGTCAACAACAGCAGGGAATCAAGACATGCTTCAATCAATACACATGTAACGCTATTTATATTTACCAAATAATATTTAGTCTGTGTTTAGTGACCTTTTGACCAAACAATTATCCATCTTTACTAAATTTATGAGCTAATTCATTATTTAATTTACAGCTGAAATGTTTGATCACCCCCTGTATCATATTGTTATTGCCTCGCTGGTGAAGCCAAAGGGATCATGTCATGGCTGTGATGTGGGATGCATTTGTTTTACAGTGAAAATGTAATAATCGCGATACTCTTGATTCCAATCCATTTGAATAATATCAATGGTTTTTTTTTTCTGCCTTGCTTCAGTATCCGCTTTGGGCTTTTGACTGTAATGAAAACAAGACTACAGGATGTCATAAAGCTCTTGACTGATCTCACCAAGAGTATGTGCCATTCTGGCCGATGGAGAAATAGTGGAATCAGTATTTCTGGGAGGCAAAGTTAACAAGCATTGTTTTCAGACATACCCATTACTTTGAACAGGTATCTGTAAAAAAAGAAACATTTTTCTCACATTTTACCTCATCAGGCCTGTACATATATCTATTCATTTCAGGTGACAGACTTTACTGATGCGAGAAGGGTTCAGTCAAAAAGCTACCAACAGTCTGTAGTGGAAATGGATTAACACCGAAAAGACAGACTTTGAAGGATTCATCTCAAAGATAGAGGATTTTCACAGACTGGGATGAATTTACTCGAGGTAATGATAAGGATAGACTTTCATAATTCTAATTCTGAGGGAGTTGAACCTTTTGATCAATGACTGAAAAATCTTTTTTGATACAACCTATCAGACAGGAACTAACTATTCTTCAGACTGCATTCAATCTGTACATGTTAACTTACTGGATATAATTTAGTTACGCTTGTTTTATGCATGATAAGAATATTATCAAATACTAAATGTTTCCTTCTTTCAGGCAATACACAAGATGAGTTACAGCACAAAAAGTGGAAATGACAAGGGAACTGTGTATTTCTTCAGGAAACCTGCTGAACATGAGAAATGTAAAGGGAGATGTGAAAATGCTTATCGCCCTTTAAAAAATATTGTATTACATCATCTTGGATGCATGTATGCTTGCTGCTGTTCTTACACCATTTGCATTTGGATGACCCTGACACTCAAGATAAGCTTTCCTGACAACTTCACTGACCTGTCAGCAGGGAAAGGGTACAGTGGCTGAATGATATCTCAGAGGAAATCATTAAAGAGTGGTTTTTGAAGATTCAGAGGACATTTGTGAATCCCTGAGAAGGGTTCTTTCCAAATCCTGAACATCAGGAAAACTACTGGGTGTCAAACCTTGATGAAGGCGTGGTCAAGGTGTCATTTTTTGTGAAAAAGACATATGCATATATTGGGTCACTTAAGGCACATGAAGCAAAGTTTCACAATGTGAACATTCAGAAAAAAGAAACCAAAAAGCAAAACCAAGAAATCAGATCAGTTGAAAGACCATCTTTAATGGTGTTTAAGCTGACAATGCTTCATTACAAGAACTTAGACCAAGCTGTTGACATGGCTGATGGTTGTCGATCTGTTCGCTCAAGAAAGTATGAACTTCCATTGTACAACAAGACAAACAAGGTGAAATATGTCATCGGTTCGGTATTATTTAACTGCCCTTACTTCAGGCACTTTGCCAGCAGAACAGAGCGCAGCTTAATTTTGTCGCTAATCGATTTGTGAATTTGCAAGGGGAAAAAACAACAACATTGCTCTTTGATGAGTAACTTGGAAATGCTAAATCGACAGCAAAATTGCATGTTCCGCCACAAGACCAAAGAGAGTATCATTCAGCATTCCAAGGAGTACCCACATCTTACCCAGTCTCAGCGGAATTTTGAAGACATTTTGCAATCTGAAACAGAGGAAGGGATTTCATCACTCTTGCCAAACTATGGTGCCGTATGTACACAAGGTACTGAGTGAACTGAGACAATTAGATGTGCTCACAACGAAAACCTGAGCCGCTCACTCCACTGCAAGGATCTGTGTAGTGACAGGAATCCATTTGCCAACAGTGAATCAAATCTGTCTACTATGATACATCGCCACAAACCAACAGTCCCCTTTGCACGCCTCCTCCAATAACAAAGCATATTTGATTGTGAAACAAGCTGTGATATTAATTCACCGGGATATGTGGATGTGTGCTCACTCTTTGACTTGTTATTCAAGTTCACTGATGTTCAAAGCATTACATTCAACATCATAATAGTGTTGAACACTCTGATAAGCCTTTTGTGCCAGAATATTATAAGGCAATATTAACTGCATGTCCAAAATGTTTATTGCAATAGAAAGTTTAAAAGCTTGATTGTAATTTCCAACAGGTGTGTATGTATCTTTAGAGTAACTGTTAATCACAATCACCATCTCTCGATATTCTCAAATTTAAACTAGTAACTCTTCAGGTTAGATTTAGTTATTATTTCTAAAAAATATGTTATAGAACAAAGAGAGGTAAATCATGTGGATGGTAATATTTTAATATCCTTTGATCAAACATCTTGACATTTACATTGACAATAATCCTGTGTAAAATGGGAGTTAAGATCATCTTTGTGCTAAGACCGATTTGAGGCTGTGTTACAGCATGGGAGTTAAGATCGAGGATTTGTGCTAAGACCGCTTTAAGGCTGTGTTACAGCATGGGAGTTAAGATCATCTTTGTGCTAAGACCGATTTGAGGCTGTGTTACAGCATGGGAGTTAAGATCGTGATTTGTGCTAAGACTGCTTTTAAGGCTGTGTTACAGCATGGGAGTTAAGATCGATTTGTGCTAAGACCGCTTTGAGGCTGTGTTACAGCATGGGAGTTAAGATCATCTTTGTGCTAAGATCGATTTGAGGCTGTGTTACAGCATGGGAGTTAAGATCGATTTGTGCTAAGATCGATTTGAGGCTGTGCTACAGCATGGGAGTTAAGACCGTGATTTGTGCTAAGACTGGGCTTTTAAGGCTGTGTTACAGCATGGGAGTTAAGATTGTATTTGTGCTAAGACTGCTTAAGGCTGTGTTACAGCATGGGAGTTAAGATCAGATTTGTGCTAAGACTGCGCTTTAAGGCTGTGTTACAGGGAGTTAAGATTGTATTTGTGCTAAGATGCTTTTAAGGCTGTGTTGCAGCATGGGAGTTAAGATCGATTTTGTGCTAAGACCGCTTTTAAGGCTGTGTTACCATACGGGAGTTAAGATTGTATTTGTGCTAAGACCGCTTTTGAGGCTGTGTTACAGCATGGGAGTTAAGATTGTATTTGTGCTAAGACTGCTTTGAGGCTGTGTTAGCAGCATGGGAGTTAAGATTGTATTTGTGCTAAGATCGCTTTTGAGGCTGTGTTACAGCATGGGAGTTAAGATCGCCTTTTGTGCTAAGACCATTTTGAGGCTGTGTTACAGCATGGGGTAAAGAAATGTACAAACATCCCAGTAGATTGCAAGACTAAATGTTTTAATAAAAGCATTTATTCTCAAACACTGCTGAATCTTTTCCCTCATTTAATACAGTATACCCTAGTTATAATGCCACCATTTTGCCAGGAGAAGGCATGTCTCTTATTGATTATTCTTTATTTCTCAGTTACATAGCACATGTACACTTGCACATAAATGCAAAATACATTTTAATAAGGGCAGAAAATCTGTTCTGGCATAAACACGGCATTATATCCAGGTTGCACTGTCTATTAAAAATACTTATTTCATTTGCATTACTTTTCCAACACATTTAGACGTTAAATCATTACATGAAATCAACACAAGATTGTTGTTGTGGATATCATAAATTCCATGACAGGTACTCAATGTAAATGAAAATACTTGCTGCAGTTCATTATCTACATCAAACATCATTTCTGCAAGCTGAGGCTAAAAATCTGATTCACCACCCGAATCGGATGTGTAATAGAAATCTGTACTGGAACTGTTGTCTGAAGAGTCTGATAGAACAGGCTCCACTCCTGCAAACAGTTCTTCTAGTTTCAACATAGAACACTTTCCACATGAACACGCTTTCAGCACAGATGTCACAACAAGTATGACAGCCGGTTTCAAGTTTGAGTTCATCCAACTGTTTCACTGTGAGAAATGATGTCATGAGAGACATTCTTCTGCATTCTGTTAACTGGTACACATTTCTTACTTCAGTGTCAGACTTTCTCAAGTGAAATGGAGTTGTGCAACAACAGTGCAATGGCTATGTGACCTCCTCGGTCCAACTCACTCCATTTCCTGTACAAGATCAACAGTGTTACCTGGATTTCCGTGATATTATAACACTGTCAAACCTGCTAGGTGTCAACACTCCATGCCAAGCGACTTGTACACACCCACCAACCTTAGTGAACTTGAGGTATCTTTCAAGCCCTGTAAAATGTCCATCTTTTATCCCAAGTGTATGTGAATGAAACATGTCCACTTGCTTCACAAGATCTGGCTGCTCTTCGTAATGTAGGTATACATTCTTGTTACATCCCCTGATAGTCTGACAGTACATAACAGTTCTAGGAAAATGATTCTTAAGTCTCTTAACCCGGGCCCACAAGCCAAGACATGGCACTTTCAACAGTGTTGGGCACTTTAGCTACAACAAGTTTGATGTTGGTCTTGTTTGGAGACATGTTTATGACATATGTATTTTCTTTTAAGGACAGCACTTTCAGTACACGCTTTAATTTTGTGTTGTACATGTGGCACTTAGTGCTAGTATGCATGCATCAGGAAACAATGATCGCGAGTTCCCAATGTGAGCAAACCATTTCCTGAAAGTCTTTTCGGTACCATCACTCCCATGTCCCCTGAAACAAGTTATGAAACCTAACAGTTACTTGAACAAATATTCAATTAATTGTTCAAATGTCAGGTTGGTCTAAAACTGCAAAAACATTAACAAATGTGTCCAACCTTAATAAAAATGACTTTTGTGATAAAATGGTTATATCAAGTATGAAGAAACTTAAAGCTGTATAGATGATATTGTTGACATTTTAGTCTTTTGATGAGACATACCATGTTGCAATTGTGTGGAACTCGTCGATGACAATCACATCAACTTTGAGCTTCTTTGTAGTGCTGTTCTCCAAAGTGGGTCACCAACAAGTGTCTCTGGAGAGGCATAGATGATATCTACTGATCCCTCTTGAATAAGTTTGTCACTTGACTCCACTGGAAACCTACAAAGATGAACAAGCTGAATTATAGGAATTATAAGATTATTTTGACTTTCTGGCGGAGATGTTTTCACAGATGGTTAAAGTGGTTATTACAAACACTGAACCATGTAAACAAACATTCAGAAATGGAGGTTAGGAGTATTGGTACTAAATTATACTCGTCTAAAATTGTGTATTCAAGATGACTGTCGAGAATTGATAATGATAGAAGTTGTGCGGTGTCAAAAATGTAATCAAAATTGTTATAATTGGCAGCAAAAGGTAAGCTTTACATAAGAATTTCGTACCAAATATTTTACTGACGTCTCATGTACATGAATTTAATTAAGAAATGTAGCTAATAACAGGAACATTAGTGTAATTTTCAAAATATAATGCTTCCTATAATAAGTACATTTAAAACAAATTCATTACATATTAGGCTCTTTAAGATTAACATAAAATGTTCATACCTCTGTATGCTGCAGCAATGCCCGGAATGGAGGAGAGTTTATCTACTTGATCGTGCATTAGTGACACGAGCGGACAGCAAACGATCATCCTGCCGGTATGTGTAGAATCCAACACGCGACGAACGGGAATGTAAGTTTGAAAAGCAAGTGACTTGCCAAATCCAGTTGGTAGTGTGGCAACACAGTCGCTATCGGCCAGCAAACACTTTAAAAATTTCTTTCTGTTGCTTTTCATCTCTTTTACACCGGAAATGCGGAAGAACTTTTCCGAGCGCACTGTCAATTTCATCTTGAGTCGCCATTTTGCAAGTCCCGCCGTACGCAAAATAGTAGCCGTTGTCTGATTGGTGAATTCTGTTCGGCCGTCTCGCGTTTGATTGGGCGGTCATAGGTCGCTCAAAGGTCACCTGACGCGACCTTCCATACGGTTTTGTTAGACCTCAGTATAGTAGGGTAACGAATAATACTGAGGCTAAGTTTACTTAGACTGAGTTCTGTAGATAAATATTGCTGATATCTGCTCTCACCATAAAATATATACAATTGATTATGTAACATGGTTATAGAACATGAAATCACATATTCACATATTGCCGAGAACATACTGTGCTGATCACATGAAACTGATGTTGCTGGTAGCTATAGCGATGTCCACAACTAACCATGGATACTGTGTTGACAAACATAGGAACGTAATCAGAGTGAATCTTGGTTTCAAACCTATGAATGTTGCACGACTGAGCAACTTGTGTACTAGATTAGCAGCAAATGGGTGACCTTTAATAGCCCTGAACTTGTACCAACTCTCAGTATACCTGATGATTTCTATCGCTGCCAGGCTGCCACAATTGCAGTGATATAACATACATGAGTGAGGCCTTAGCTTCAGCATAACCTCAGTGCTCAATTTAGTGCTTTGATACTTGCACTGGTGCAACCCAATATTATAGTGTAACCTAGTTATTAGTCAACCTTGAGCCAGGTGCAAGTCAATTTTTAGACTGACTGACTGACTGAGTTTTTACCGCTTTTAAAAGCAATATTCCAGCAACATCACTGGTGGACACACCAGAAATGGGCTTCACACATTGTAAATCTTACATGGGGATTCAACCTCAGGTCTTTGGCATGGACGAATTAACGCTTTTAACCACTAGGGCTACCCCTAACGCCTACAATTTTTAGGAAATAAATCAACAATAAATCTAACATTATAAGCATAATCATGTCATGTCTTCTAAACTTTGAATAGCTGTGGCACCAAAATGTAATTTTAGAGTAAAATTGATATTTTATAATTTATCCTGACTCATGCTCTTTTGTTTGTCTTCTTCTTCTTGCTAACATAGTGGAACACTTGTATCTCCCTAATTGAAGCCCCTTCAATGTAAAATCACTAATTAGTACTCACCACGAAGCTACCTCCCTTCCACAAGCTGCGAAACGAGGGCTTCACCTCCACCCATGTGCCTCTACTCTCTCCCTCATATACTGAGCCCAACATTTGAATTTACAGGGAAATCCAAAGTGTTATGTGGGGAGGATGGGAGGGAGCTTACCTCATGAGTCAGGATAAGTATAAAATATCAATTTTACTCTAAAAATTACATATTTTTTTCCTTATCCTTACTCATGCTCTTTTACTTGTAGTATCCGAACGGAAAAGGAGGTGGGAATATATAATACTTTGGATTTTAATAATTAGTGATTTGAACTGTGATGATTGTAATAACCCTATGGGAACTTCATAAAGGCACTGAACTGATGAATTCCAGCTGTTAACTTATCAGTTGCCATATAAAGGTTATTACAATGTAATTTATTATGATAAAGTATATATAACATTAATACAATGCTTAAGACTAATAGACTTAAGCTTGTTAATATGCTAGTATAAACTCCTTAGAGTTTGTTAGCCAAAATACTTTTAAGATATAAACATAGTACTAAGCTTAAGATATGATTAAACTTTAAGCTAATTATATAATAGCAAAACTCTTTAGAGTTTGTTAGTTAATATACTCTTATATGATATAGATATAATGCTGAGCTTAAGATATGAATAAGCTTTTAGCTACATATATAATAGCAAAACTCTGTAGAGTTTGTTAGCTAATATATTTTTTACAATATGAGTATAGTACTGTGCTTAAGATATAATTAACTTAAGCTACATATACAATAGCCAAAAACTCTGTAGAGTTTATTAGCTAATAGATTTATAATGTAACCATAGTACTAAGCTTTCTAAGATAAGATTAGACTTAAGCTAAATGTATATAGCAAAAACCCTTAGAGTTTATTAACTAATATACTTTTTATGTTATAAACATAGTACTGAGCTTAAGATATGATTAAACTTTAAGCTACCGTATATATATATAATAGCAAAACTCCGTTAGAGTTTTTGTTAGCTAATACATTTTATAATGTAAACCATACTGCTTAAGATATGATGAAACTTAAGCTAATTGTATAAAAGCAAAAAACCCTTTAGAGTTTGTTAGCTAAAATACTTTTATATTGAGTAGTATTGAGTTTATGAAGGAAACCTTAAGCTACATATAATAGCAAAACTCCAGAGAGTTTGTTAGCTAATACATGTTATAATGTAACCATAAAGCTTAAAATATGATGAAACTTAAGCCAATATATATAGCAAAAACCTCTTAGATTTTGATAGCTAATATACCTATATGATATAAACATAGTACCTGCGCTTAAGATATGAATAAGCTTAAGTTACATATATAATAGCAAAACTCCGTGAGAGTTTGTTAGCTAATATATTTTTACAATATGAGTAGAGTTTGTTAGCTAATACCTGTTATAATGTAACCATATTGCTTAAGATATGATGACATCTTTAAGCCAAATAGCAAAACCTCTTTAGAGTTTGTTAGCTAATATACTTATATGATATAAACATAGTACTGAGCTTAAGATATGAATAAGCTTAAGCTACCTATATAATAGCAAAACTCCTCGCGGAGTTTGTTAGCTAATATATTTTACAATATGAGTATAGTACCATGCTTAGGGATATAATTTAACTTGCTACGATATAATAGCCAAAAACTCTGTAGAGTTTGTTTAGCTAATGCATTTATCATGTAACCATAGTACTACTCTTAAGATATGATTAACTTAAGGTAAATATATAATAACAAACTCTGTAGAGTTGTTAACTTATATATTGTATGATGTAATAATCATAGTACTGTGATGATAAAAGGAACTTAAGCAAATTATATATAGCATGTAGCTATTTAGTACTGTTATAAGATAAGTAGAAATCTGTAAGATTGACTTATCTTCTCCGAGGAACTGTCAACTGTTGTGCGAGGACCATGGGATCGAATTGGTGGATACCTGAGACGCCCTCGTGGTGATATCTCTCAGATAATGGTTGGCAACCACCATATCGGATCTCCAGAAATAAACCCTCCATTATTTCAAATAACATTTGTGTAAATCAATTGTAGAAGTTAGCGCTTCTAATATCATGAGTATTAAAAGCTCATGGAGGGTCGGATTGGGTCCATCCGCCTTGTATGCACGTAGTATGACAGTTCTGATCCAAACGGAGATATAGTATGCGAGACTTCATTCTGCGAAGTTGATGATAGAGGAAATAATCTGTTGCATTTTCCTTCCTGTTTGGTTCGGTGGAGATAAATTTACAGTGCTCTTGCTGGCCATCGCGGATAGAATCATCGTGATCATGGAGTCCAAGTATGTCATCCAGGCGTTGTTCATAAACCTCACTCTTGTGAGGTGTTGGAGCACTATATTCAGATCCCCAAGTTGGAGCTTGAAACTTCCGCTTTAATTCTCCAATCAGAAAGCTTAAGTAGGTTTACTAACCATCTAGTTGTGTTAGTAGCTTGATGATGAAATTCAGCTGTAGTCTGAGACGCTGTGGATTTAGATCCACTTGTATCCCGCCGCCTAGGTAATTCGCCAAGCGGTCCTTTGACGCATGTAGGTGCACAACCAGGTGTGTCTGTCCTCGCTGAACTTTATGTAAAATCGCCTGACTGCCGTGCCCTCAGCCCTAACTTTGACAGGGGAGGTCTCTAACTTGAAGAAAGCAGCCCAATCATGAAGGTTCAGATTAACTGGACTGTAAGGAGGCTTGCTCGCTCACTGATATATAGTTGTCACTTGTAACGTAAGTCTTGAACTGTGAACTAAGATCGACCTCCGCGTAGGTCGTTGTCCATCGCGTCCAACTGCAGAACAAGGCATTTTGATTCTGAAGAATACCCCGCTGTGATGTCACCGTGTAGCAGGAAAAAACCTTGTATAAAATCTTGCCGCCGCTGATATTAGCATAATCGCCGGTCTTCACCGTAGCTTCCCGGTTACCCGAAGTGACCATGTGTTTCGAGGGTTAATGGTAAACGCTACAAACCTCCGCCAAATAACCCGGGATCTGTAATATTAATGCTGGGTAGGTTATTTTCCTGGCTGTCGGAAAGTAACTTCAGTTTAGAATATAATCTCGACTTCCTTATATAAAGGTACAATAAACTTGCAAGTTGTCAGCTTGTAGACTGTATACATGAATGTATCGTCCTAATTGTAGAATTAAAGCTGAACTTGTTGTACATATTTCTTCTCAGAAACGCTGGACGCATTATGAGTTATACTCGCTGTAACAAGGCTGCTGTTCAATTTCGAGCATTGAATTGTCTGCAGATATGCTGAATGGTCACGCATGTAGATAATCGTGATCGCCGTCCGGGATTGCATATTCTAGCAATCTATAATGAACAGTTGATTTCTGTGAAGATCTATGAAACGTCACGCTGACTAATTAATACAGCGACGCTCTGTGTTGTAAATAGCCTGTGCAATTGTCTTCGCCAGGGTTTATAGATCGCATCTGGCATACAGTTGATAGACAACTTATGCGTGCTGTCTTGAACGGACTGACGAAAGTAGCCATATATGACGAAGTGGCTAGTATATGGAGACCTTTGGAGGAGACTTCCTCGGTGAACGCTGAGACTTCGCTAAGCCTCAAGCATCCCTCTAGATCTCTGGGTGAAGTAGACTTGAGCCACTTAGCCTTCGCTGACCTTCGCTAAGGTATCGAAGTCAAAGCCCGATTAGTATATATATATATATGAGCTTGCTTCGCTGAACGCCTCTGTGTTTAACAGGATGTGGGGTCGGTGAAGCGCTACTCCTCCGTGACGCCCCTTGTAACTGGTGAGGCTCTAGCTCCTTGGAGGCTGCCTGGGACTTCCTTAGCGAAGTGTTTATAGTCCCAACAATATATGAGCCGCTAGCTTCATACAGGTGTGGTTCTTGCTGGTTCTGCATAAGTAGAGCCGAAAGTAGATCACCCTATCATCTTCAGAAGTCGTGGTCACTAACTCTGGTGATAAGAATCTTATTGATCGCTCTAGATCTATTAAGGTTAAGAACATGCATGCCTCTGGCGCTTGAACTTTCATGGCTTTATGGTAGGCTGTGTCCTCATTCTATGGCACCGCCAGCAATCGGTCGGGACCGGAGGTAATGTGATGGTGTCTTCATCGCCTTCCTTCATCAGGTATGTCTGCGCGAGTTGCCACCTTGGAAGGTGAAGAGAGATCTAGGTTGTTTACCATCCAATATCGTGATCTCAGCGCCTGAGAAAATGATGCCTCTATCATCTTCTATCCCAGCATCGCTGATGAGAGGTTGATGCTCTTCTGATGGTGGACTGTGTGTTTCTATCTCTATGTCGGGTGACGCTGGGGGAGACCTGACTGTAGACTTGTGTGCAGACTTGTGTGGTGACCTGGGTGTCGCTCTTTCCAGCGCTGGAACCTTCGCGAAAGTTGCTCAGGCCCTGGGCTGGCTGCTTCTCCAGTCTGTAGTGGCCCTCCATCATGATCATGATTTGCCGCAACAGTTCATCTGGGATGGTCTGCGGCCGAAGTAGTCGGTGCCCTCTCTGGCGATGTTAGCGGTGCGGGGCCATCAGGGAAGTCGCCTGGACATCAGTGTAGAGACATCAGGCTGCATGGCGATCTCTGCTGATGTCATTGTAGCTGTCACCGTCGGCTTCTTGTGTGGCGTCACGCCGGGGATGATGATCGGCTGAACATCGAGAGGCCCAGTTCAGCTGCTGGAACAATCTCGTTGAGAAAGTCCCAGTAGACTTCGCTGATTTCCTCAGAGGTCGACGCCGCCCTTGGGGTGCTAAGTCTGCATTGAGTGTTGGTAGCTTAATGGACCTTCAGGAAGATCATCGAATATCAGCGCGTTGGTACATCAGGCTGCATGTTGATCTGCGCTGACATCACTGTTGCCGACATCGGTCATTCTTTGATGTACATCAGGTATGATGCTCCGGCTGATCATCATACAGGCCCAAATCTTACGATGGGAACAATCTCGGGCTGAGAAAGTTCTAGTAGACTTCGTTGATTTCCCCTCAGAGGTCGATGCTGCCCTGGGGTGCGGAAGTCTCGCGCTGAGATGCAGTAGAAACCCTCTAGTCTTCGGCTGTGACGATGGGATGTCTGGGGAAGCAGGATTTTGAGGCTGGCGGACTACGTCCCCACGCCTCCACCACTCTAGCCGAACACCACACGGAGGGGGTCCACCAACAGCAGTAGACTGGTGAGGGGTTCAGGTGTATCAGTCATGCTAGACTCTGCATCACAGCGACCTATCTGCTCTGCGCTGGCCCTCAAACGCGAAGTAAATATTTATAAAAGGCAGAATTGGATAAATTAGTACCGTACCCAACTGCAACGCGAAAAAAATGAACATGGCGATTACAACTAGGGCATATTAAATGCGGATCAGCAGCAGAATAAAACGTAATCTGCAACAGTACAGAATTTTCATCAACGTAATCCACTGAAACAAACACGAAGGCCCCGTGAATAAACAGTAGAAACACAACTAAATATCAATATATAATTGTTGAAGGATACTAGCTAAACCTCTATAGATTATGACAGCTCTTGTAAACAGGGATCAGCTGCATCTCTGTGTTGCTATGGTTTCATGGGTACTACATCACGGAAATATGTTTATGTGCACTGAAACCTCTGACGTTTTAACACACTACATTGCAACTTGAATTTGGCAGGTGCAACTAGGTTTTTTTCTTAGGTTGCACCTGGTGCTCTCTCTCAAGCCCTGTAACTGCAATGACTATCAACATGAAATAATACAAACTGCATCTTGCTGAATTTATGAGAACTAAAATTGTACTTTGAAAAACAAGGTTTGTATGTAACACACATTACATTACACTTCCTCTGATTACTTTATGCAGTTGTAAAATTGCTTCTCAGTTTCTAATACTGGCAATAAAGACGTTAAATACCAGTCTTTGGACAAAGTTAAGCTGTGTGGCAAGTCCTTAAGAAACAAACTTTACCTGGTCTACTTCATTGTCCTCATTAACATGTATTCGCTTTCTGTCGAGATTATTTTCAGTCCCGACACATTGCCAAACAATGTTACATATCCAGTTCACAATACGATTTCCGTAACAAGTAATAGTAGTTCCTATCATACTTATCATGATTATATAACAAAAATAACAAACAACGAACATAGAAACCCTGTATGCACATATAGTCCAGTTTCGTGTGAAGTGGTCTTAAATAATGAATCAATCATGCAGTGAGTTGGGTTTTACGCCGCTCTTACCAATATTCAGCAATATCACGGCTAGGACACCAGAAATGGGCTTCACACACTGTACCTATGTGGGGAATCAAACCCGGGCCTTCAGCGTGACACTCTTGACTACCCCACTGCCCCATCAAGCATACAGGTCATGGTATAGTGAGATATTACAAACAACTGTCCAGAATATATGTCTCCAGAAATAAGGTACAGTCAGAACCGTACAAGTGTACGTATCACTTTCGTCCTCTTCCACGGGAGGGGCCACCCCTTCTACCACCTCTTCCTGCAGACTTGGACTTAAACTGGTTTTTGAAGTCCATTTCTACCTCTTCTAACTGGGATATCTTCTTGAACTTTATCGGCGAATCTGACTCAACCTCCGATGTTGTAGGTGCTGTTGTCCAGTTGGGGTCGTGGTTGTCAGACATCTCACTGGACAGAGAATCTGTTTCTTCCTCCATTATGCGATACTTTCTGGAAATGACAAGGTACTGGATTACAGAAGGACCGTTCATGTCCATGTTCAGTGTTGTTTTGATTGAGTGAGTGTTGTAGTATGTCACTTTCAGCCATATTCCAGCTGAATGTAGATGTAGTCTGCAAATGACTGGCAAGCAAACCCAGAAGACAAGAAGGCAAAAGTATCTACGACCTTGGACAGCCCATTTTTTTGTCTTTTGTGGAGACAGCAGTTTTTTTAATCAGTGCTTCATACACTTTAAAAAAAACAAAACAGCAGCCAAACAAATTTTTTTTAACACACAGCACGTTGTTTTCAGAACAATCAGCACGTCCTACCATTGTCCAACAAAAACACATGTAACAGCACTACCTTGGTCAAATGATAAACATTTGATCCTGTGCACTGAAACGAAATTGAGACAGGACTAATTCTAAAGCTGTCTTTTTATTTGTCTAGTCCCCCTCTGACCTGACCTGACCTGACCTGACCTGAATAGGTTTGCATGATGCAAAATATTGATGGAATAACATTTGTTGGTGCTAAAACTAATTGGCAAATATATCAAATTTCTTCTTACACGTTTCGTTGCATCCCTGATGGAATTTGGTGCCCTGCAACAGAACAAGACTGGGTTATTTCTGCTTCATCGATCTAATTGCTTGCACTTGCTGAGGTAACACCGGTGGCCATAATAAACACTTATACTTATACAGTTAAACATTTGCTGTCCTTGTATTCATTTGGACATATAATTCATGAAGCATTGTTTTATGAAACATTCTCACATTACGCAGAAGTTAAACCATACCTATTGATGTGGAATAAAACATTATCACATATTATTACAGTGACTTCAATACTGCTGTACACTGCTGCATTGATGAAACTTTCAGATTAACAAGTCACCACTGGCTCCGTTTACTCTCTTCTGATCCTAGGTCCTGTACCACAATGAGTGAATGTGTGAGTTTGGTTTTACGCCGCTTAAAGCAATATTCCAGCATTATCACGGCAGGGGGACACAAGAAATGGGCCTCACACATTGCACCTATGTGGGGAATCGAACACGAGTCTTCGGCGTAACGAGCGAACACTTTAACCACTAGGCTAGCCCACCACCCCGTACCACAACAATATATCAACGCAAACACAAGCAACACTCCCAAAGCTGACGATAGTGGCAGTACTGTTATCACCTAATGGAACAGGTTCAGTGCTATGGCAGCAGGCAAAAAATGGAAAGGTTATACAAGGTGCCAAACTGAAAGCGGATCTACCACACTGAAACGGGATACTGCCACCATGCCTGTTGCTAAGCTAGTTCAAAATTACCACACATTCTGATGGCTTCTGAAACTACTGCCCAGGGCTGGGAGGCTGCGAACAAGGAAGTCGCTTGTTAATAGAATGCTCTTTTGTCTGAAGGTGGTCGTGTGTGTTGTTTAATAGTTCATGCAACTATTCCTGCTGCATCCAGTCTGTTAATTAATCAAGTCTGGACAAGACAATCCTGTGATTGATGTTTTGAGCTGGGATGCATGATCCACATGGTCACTGAATCTACCATGCCATCTTATTAATAGTGAGTGAGTTTGCTTTTATGCCGCTTTTAGCAATGTTCCAGCACTATCATAGAAATAGGCTTCACACATTGTACCTATGTGGGGAATCGAACCTGGGTCTTCGGCGTGACAAGTGAGCGCTTCAACCACTAGACTACCCTACCGCCCCCATCTAACTAATAACCTCTTATCATCTATGCCTTCATGAGCCAAAATAAGAGTTTAGTGAACCCCCAATAATTAATTTCAAGGGTCCATACAGAAAATAAAAGGGTCCTGTAATTGGTGAAGTGTGTTGTGAGATGATGTAATTACAGGGCCTATTGTCAATCGTCCTTCAGGAAGAAACAATTCCCTTCCATCCATACACTAAATGTGTATTACTGAACAAATATTTCTGCGTGATGTAAACTGTTGGAATGATGAATTTCAAAAAGAAACAAAATGAAATACGAGAGAATATCCCATCTACTCCATGCATACTGTAAACAGACTAACACTAAAACCAAACCCACCAAGACATGCAGAGTAGAGGACAGATCAATACCCAATTGGTCCAAAAGTTACCAAATCACTGATTAAAGTCCTCAAACTGATGCCAGGTTGATTCAAAACTAGACATCTGTGTACCTCGTCCTCTGGACCGGGTGGCTCTTGGCTCTGGTTCATCAGCTTCAAGGTCAAGGTCATACACATCCTGCCCTACTTCCTCTGCTTGCCGCATTCTGTTGGCTATACACTGATCTGTGTGTTTCTCGATGAGGTCTTGTCTCACCAGCTTGTTACAAACGCAGCACTGTTCCATATTCCGACTGAAACAACATGTATTATAAATAAAAGAGTGAGTCAGTGAGTGTGTGTTTGTTTTTATGCCACTTGCAGCAACATTCCCGCAATATCACAGTGGGGCACACCAGAAATTGGCTCCACACACTGTACTCATATGGGGAATCTAACCTGGGTCTTCAGTGTGACTAACAAACAGATTAACGACGAAGCTACACACCACCCTTTAACAATGGAATGAATGTGCCTAAATTAATTATGTTTCTTGTGTATCTCACCAATAATTAGGAAGGGATAGGAAAACATCCATACACACTGGTTGTAAGGCAAACAAGATAGAAGTGAGTTTGTGTATGAAACACAAACAAAAGGGGGCTCTAGGGTTGTTTCTTTGCTTTGTTGCTTAACTATATGGCAGCGGTCTGTAAATCACCAAGCCTGTACCAGACAATCCAGTGAGCAACAGCATGAGCATCGACCTACGCAAATGGGATATGATGACATGTGTCAGCGAGTCTGACCGCTCAATCACGTTCGTCGCCTCTTACGACAAGCATGGGTTGCTGAAGACCAATTCTAACCCAGATCTTCACGGGTCTGTTGCTCTTGGGACCTTGGGCTGGCTTCTACAGTAATTGAATCCAGAGACCCCTAATTTTTTAGTTTTTAACATGAAGGATGTGACAACTACCCTGTAACTATTCAGAACGGACTAAAGTACCCTGTTGTAATTCCCAGAGTGTTCACCATTAACTCACTTTTCACACACTTTTCCCCCAGACAAGTCAATATTTTTTATGACACCAAAACTGTTAAAAATGAAATGATTACAAAACCCAATTTAACAGTTGTTTCGCTTTTAGTGAAGTGTGGATATTTTGTAAATTAAGGACCGTGGGTAAATCTTACACTGCTGCTACAAATAAACATGTCATAAATGAGGGCTTTTTAACAAACATTGTTTTGCATCACACAATATAGGAAAAACTACAATCCTTTCAAGTAAGCCAAACAGACAAGTACTGCACTTTCCCCTTTGCCCTAATAGGGATATTTACAGACTCCATTATTTACAGACCGGAGCCATATTGCCGGAATATTGCTGGGTACAACAGCAATCAAACAACAACCAAATCAAACCAATCTTGAGTTTCCGTGACACAAGCTCGAGTTCATACCTTTGTGGTATTGGCTTAACTCTGACTGGTACTGGCTCTTCTACATCATCATCTGGAACTTAAAATAGATTCATTATTGACAAAGGAAGAACGCAGACAGTGGTGGAGATCACAACTCGTTTATCATTTCAGTATACAATTCTGAACTTCCTGTTCAAGGATCCTGAACATCATGAGCATGGATCAAGGCAACTGGGATATAATGACATGCGGCATGATGCATCAACCAAGTCACTAAGCCTCACCAGCCGAGCACTACAGTCGCCGCTCTCACAAGCATGGGTTGCTGAAAACTAGTTCTAACCCAGATCTTCAAATTGGATCTGTTACAATATATATACTGCTTTCATAACTAGTCACAGTTTCTACTGTTTTGCTGAACATTTTACTTAAAATTTGACAAATTAGTACATCTGGCATGATAATCATCAATAATTTTACTGGACTGATAGCATCTATGTAATGAAAGCATATTACCTTGTTCCTTAACAGTTCTAGTCCTGCCAGAGTAGTCTCCCTTGTTACCATCCTCATGACTGGATCTTATAAGTGAAAAATATCAAAGATAATCAGTGAATACATGAACTCTGCATTAATTGATGGGAGAACAGAAAATGAAATAAACATGGCTCACGTTTTCTGTCAGAAGATTGCTGTTGCAGACCAAATGCTTCACTCCCCTGTGTAATAAACAGGAAAATGCTGACTTACAGAAAACAGCATTCACTCACTTATGTCACATGACAAACACTAGGGTACAGGGGACAGCTTTATGAACACTGCAAGTGCAACAGAGCTCTTTCTATATTGCACCACAGGCACATTCTATTTTCACATTTAGAAAACAGAGGATACATACTCACACAATCTGTCCATACCACCAGAACACACTTACACTATGTCCAAAGACTGATCACGACAAGAAGATGAAAGATGAAAGATAGTTGTGGTTCGGCTCATTTATGGAACATCCCATTTCGATACTGATTTCAAGGGTCACATGAGGACCTCATCATATCTATAAGATCAGCTTATCTGTCGTCATATATGGTAGATATTAGCATAACGTACTGGGATCTTTTCTGTTCTGACCTTGTGGCACAACAAGGACGCCAGAGCATGACCACCCGATCCCGTTAGTCACCTCTATCGACAAGGATGGGTTGTCCAATTCTAACCCAGATCTTCATGGGTCGGGGGCTCTAGGGACCTGTGGCTAGCTTTTTTCAGTAACTGAATCAAGGGAGTCCCAGACAAGCAGCTTACGACAAGCATGGGTTGGTGGAGACCAGTTCTAACCCGGATCTTCACAGGTCGGGTGCTCTTGGGACCTTGGGCTGGCTTCTACAGTAATTGAACCGAGGGACCCCTAATTTTTTAATTTTTAGCATGAAGGATGTGACAACTACCCTGTAACTATTCAGAACGGACTAAAGTACCCTTTTGTAATTCTCAGAGTGGTCACTATTAACTCACTTTTCACACACTTTTTTCCTGATAAGTTTATATTTTTTACGACACCAAAACTGTTAAAAATGAAACATTTACAAAACCCAATTTAACAGTTGTTTTGCTCTTAGTGAAGTGATGATATTTATGTAAATTAAGGACCGTGGGTGAATCCTACACTGCTGCTACAAATAAACATTATGTGATAAATGAGGGAACAAGAAACCCATGTAGAAGTCATCCAGTAAGCTATATCTTACCTTCTGGATACGGAAGCTTGCAGGTGTGCTGAAACACAAAACAGGACATAGAACACATCATTTGAGCTGTTTATGTCACAAAATACATCTCCCTTGTTTTCAAAGTGAGTGTTAAATGTGCAAGGTAAATGAATACTAACCAGCATACAGTCTACATCATCTTCAGTTATGAAGGACATAAATCTATATGGTAAGAACATCTGGTCCGTTAGCTGATCACAACTGTTGTTTTGCACCACACTCAGCAATATACCAACTATATGGTGGCGGTCTGTAAATAATCGAGTCTGGACCAGACACTCCAGTGATCAACAGCATGAGCATCGACCTGTGCAATTGGGAACCAATGACGTGTGTCAACCAAGCCAGCGAGCCTGACCACCCGATCCTGTTAGTCGCCTCTTACGACAAGCATCAGTTATGAAGGACATAAATCTATATGGTAAGAACATCTGGTCCGTTAGCTGATCACAACTGTCGTTGCATTTCTTGATGCTGATAACATATCACCTCGGACGAATACAATTTATACCATGTGTGTGTGTGCGTGTATTTAGTTTTATGCCCCTTTTAGCAATATTCCAGCAATATCATGGCGTGGGACACCAGAAATGGGCTTCACACATTGCACCCATGTGGGGAATCGAACCTGGGTCTTCAACGTGACGAGCGAATGTTTTAACGACCAGGCTACCTCACCCTCCTTATACCATGTACACAGTATATTTGAGTATTGTTTCCGTGAATTGGGCATCTGTTTGAACAATAGTTGGGTTAAAACAATGTCCTGTAGGGGTAGGTTCCACTGATCACATCAAACTTGTGCAGACTAAAAGATCATCTAAAATAGATGCCAAGAGAAAAAGACCAGTCCCTGAAGATTTTCACGAGTCAAAGACAAGCAGACAAGTGCCTTGCCTATTCCATTGATGTCATCTAAATGTGGGAGGATAGCCCAGATATCTCCCACTTTCGGGAATCAAACTGTACAAGTATGGTGATCACAACCTAGGAGCATTAGTGATGGTTGTCGCTCACAATATGTATATTGATAATTGGAGATCCGTAATTGATCAGTAATCAATTGTAATCATAAACCCCACCACAAAGCTAATGTGGGCAGCATCATAACAGTGGGCAAACGAAACCGATTAATACCACGATCAACATGTTTGAGGATACTTCTTGTTGAGACACACATGGGAGTATGTTGTTTACATGGCAGTTTTACGAGTCAGGAAACTGGATCAGTTGTTTAGGTCTTGATTTAACAAACATAACAATAAGAAACATACTTTTTAATCTTATGACGCAAGCGATATAGTGAGTGAGTGAGTGAGCGAGTCTAGTTTTGCACCACACTCAGCAATATACCAACTATATGGTGGCGGTCTGTAAATAATCGAGTCTGGACCAGACACTCCAGTGATCAACAGCATGAGCATCGACCTGTGCAATTGGGAACCAATGACGTGTGTCAACCAAGCCAGCGAGCCTGACCACCCGATCCTGTTAGTCGCCTCTACGACAAGCATGGGTTACTGAAGGTTCATTCTAACCAGGACCTTCACGGGTCCGCAAGCGAGATATATCGATTGGCTGATTGTTCCATCAATCGCTCAAGCACTAAGGTTGGTTGCTCAGTTGTTTAGCACCGCACTCAGCAATATTCCAACTATATGGCGCCAGTCTGTAAATAATTTGAGTCTGGACCAGACAATCCAGTGATCACCAGCACAGGCATCGATCTACACAACTGGGATACGATGACATGTGTCAACCAAGTCAGTGAGTCTGACCACCTGATCCTGTTAGCCTCCAGCCCCAAGGAACATACAAACAGTTCTACAGATTTTCATAGCATAACGACACAAATAAGGGTTACAACAGTGAGTGATCTGCAGCGCCAGAGACACGTCAATGTGTGCCCCTGACCATACTTGTCTTGCTTAGAAAGTTTGCACCTGTAATTTTTAGAGTAAAATTGATATTTTATACTTATCCTGACTCATGCTCTTTTGCTTGTCTTCTTCTTCTTGCGAACATAGTGGAAACACTTGTATCTCCTTAATTGAAGCTCCCTTCAATGTAAAATCACTAATCAGTACTCACCACGAGTTGCTCCCCTTTGATCCCTTTTGGCGGGAAAGGTGTCGCCACCTCATACCTCGTGCTTCACTCTCTCCTGATTTTGCGAGCCCAACACTTGAATTTACAGGGAAATCCAAAGTGTTATGTGGGGAGGATGGGAGGGCTGACCTCATGAGTCAGGATAAGTATAAAATATCAATTTTATTCTAAAAATTACATATTTTTCCTTATCCTGACTCATGCTCTTTTGCTTGTAGAATCCTACGGAACGGAGGAGGGAGTAACAGAATACTTTGGATTTATAATTAGTGATTTTGTATAAATATAACTGTAATAACTGGTATGGGAACTTCATGAAGGCATAGACTTAGGATATTTCCTGTATATAACCATAGGTTTTATAATGCCATAATTGTGTATTACATTGATATATATTGAAAAAAACCCATTACATAAATTATATATACATAAGTGACTCTGATAGAGTCGCTGTACAACTAAATATAATGTCCATATATACTTAGGGGTGAAAGACCTAAGCTGAATATATATACATAGCTCTAGAACTCCTCAGAGTTATAAGCTAACTAAATTATGTATATAATACATATTAACTTTGTGATTGTAATATTTTAACGCCTACGAGGGACTGTCAGCTGTTGGCGAGGACCAAAGGGCGAAATGGTGAATGCCAGAGACATCTTCTGTGGTGATATCTCTCAAGTAGTGATTCGCAAACACCATGTTCGATTTCCAAAAGCATCCTTCCATAATAGTGTTCAATGAACAGTTACCGTGCAGAGGGTGGAAGCCAGTGCCCTAATCTCATGCGGATTTGATGCTGTTGGTGGGTCCAAGCCTGCTGCCTTGTATATCTTGAAGTATGACAGTCCTTATCCAAATAGATATGGTATGCTTGAGACTTCTGTTTGATTAAGTTGGCGATAAGGGGATGAATAATCTTTTGAGAAATCTTAAGCCTTGTTTTGGATCGTCGTAGGTAAACTTTGAGAGCTCTGACTGGACACAGTGACAAGTCTTGTGTATCTTGTGATCGAGAATGGAGGATAAGCTGGTACATGGAATAACCTGTCTGGTTGACCTGGTAGTTGATTTTTAGCGATGAAATCCCATCTTAATCCGAGGTGCGCTATGTTTTGATTGTCATCAAACTGTATCCTTTCGTAATCCAGAGCGTGAATTTCAGATATTCTTGCTGCCGTGGCTAGAGATAGCAGAAATAGTGTTTTCTGTGAGAGAAATTCAAAGTTTGTCGATTCCAAGGGTTCATAAGCCTCACTTGTGAGGTGTTGTAACACTATATTCAGATCCCAAGCTGGGGCGTGGAACTTCCGCTTTTGGTCCTCCAATCGGAAAGCACGTAGTAAGGCCAGTAACTCTGGAGATTTTGTCAGCTTGACACCCGTTCTCATAGTAATCACAGAGCTAAGCGCGGCAAGATATGTTGATATCGTCGAACCTCTTAAATGTTTGTTTTGCCGCAGGTAACACAAATAGTCTGCCACTTGAGGATGTGAAGCATCCCTCGCTGTAAATCCTTTATTAGCTGCATAATTTTCGAAACTGTGCCACTTGTCGTCGTACAAGATTCACGAGTTGAGTGTCGTAAGTAAGGCAAAGCGTGACGCTTTTGCCGCCCTGGCAGAATATCCTCTCTTGTTTAAACACATTTGTATACAGTCCATCACGTGAAGTTGGTAAACTTCTGGGTTTCCGATGCACTTGTTTTGTGTGTGGATGTATTAACAGGTTTGGCTTGGGTAGCTCTAATACTGGTTGACCGATTTCTTGAATTAGACTGGGAAACCATACTCTGGCTACAGCCAGTAGAGAGCGACAAAGTGAGTTGTAGACTCTGTGTTTGTTTGATTTTCTGTAATACTTGAGGTATTATTGCTGGCTGGCGGAAGCAGCGTCTGCAGCGTTGAGGCCTTCCCAAGATATACTTAGAGCGTCCGTTTCCCAAGCTTGTGGATCTGGGATTGGTGACACGAATGTCGGTAACTGATTGTTGAATCTTGTGGCGAATAGATCTATTAGCGGCTGCTAGCGGCTTGATTATCTGAGCAAATATTTCCGTATTGAGCATCCACTCTGTCGGTGATGGTAGATGAGGCCGAGATAGAGCGTCTGCTAGTACATTCTTGGCTCCGGGAATGTGAACTGCTCTGATCTGTAGATTTAGATCGTGGGTTAGATCGAATAGTTGAAAGCTTAGATTCAAAAGGTTCAGTGATCTCGTTGAGCCTTGCTTGTTTACGTAGAACGCCACTGTGGAATTGTCTGTATGAATCATCAGGTGCGCATTTTGTAGAAATGTGCTCCAATGTAGAATGGCGTTGATTACAGCTTTCATCTCTAAGTTGTTTATGTGGAGTTTGCTTTCTTGTTGATTCCATATTCCCGATGTCGTTTGGTTGGCGAGATGAGCTCCCCAACCTTGAAGTGACGCGTCCACATATAGATGGGTTTTGAATTCCTGCTCTGCTAAACAAATCCCTTCGCAGACATTCGATTTCTTTGTCCACCATAGTAGATGAGGTCTGAGATGTTTCGGTAGACTGAATGGCTGTAAATCGTCGAGATGTGCATTGATGAAGACCTGTAAGGGACGTAACTGTAACCTGCCTCTGACTGTCATGTCTTGGGCTGATGTGAGGAGACCTAGGAGGCTCTGCCATTGTCGAAGTGGTAACGGAGAGCGTAGAGCTGGTGGAATGGTCTGTTGGATCTTGATCCAACGGTCTTCTGGTACGACGATACGGTTGAGATTTGTGATAAATCGAATGCCTAGGAACTGTAGGTCTTGTGACGGTACTAGGTCCGACTTGAGTAAGTTTACTAACCATCCTAGCTGTGTTAGTAGCTTTATGATGTAATTTAACTGTAGTTTGAGATGCTGTGGATCTTGATCTACTTGTATCCCGTCGTCGAGGTAAAACGCACTGCGTAGCCCTTGATGATGAAGATAGGTGATAATCGGTTTCGTTATCCTCGTGAAAAGCCAGGGGGCTGATGATATTCCGAATGGGAGCACTTTCCACTGGTAATGTTGCCCGTCTAAGGTAAACCGTAGGTATTTCCTGGCTTTGGCGTGTATCGGGATGTGCAGGTAGCGTCCTGTAGATCGATACTGCCCATGTAGTCCATGGGGCGAATCAACTGCCGTAACTGAGGTAAATGTATCATGCGGAACTTCGGTGGTTTGCGTAGATAGTTCTTGTTGAAAAAGCTCATGTTGTAGATGAGTCTGTATTTCTCCTTGGAGTTTTTCTTGGGAACTAGGAAAACTGGGGAGTAGAAACCTGGTTCTATGTTGTCTTGGTCTAGTACTTCTATGGCCTGCTTTATTAAGAGTGATGTAACAGCCTCTCTTAACTTCGGTAGTTGTTGTGCCTGTACGTCGAACTTGTGAGGGTTGACTGTCAGCGGAGGCTTGGCCTTTAGTGGGATACGAAATCCGTGACGAAGAATGTTGGAGACATAAGGGTCTTGTAATATTCCCCAGTTTTCCCAGTAAAGTTGGAGGCGTCCACCCACTTGAGATGGTTGTACTGGAACGGCTGGGGGTGGAAGACTCCAGTCGTTCCGAACCTGTCTTTCAGCGTTTATAGTTGCGGGAACCTCTGGGTGTCCTGCCTCTTCCTGAACCTCCTCTATAGTTGCCGAATGGGCGACGAAAAGAATCTTTTCCTCTAGAGCTGGCTATCTTCCTGTCTCGTGCTCTCTGTAGGCCCGTGAATTTAGATCTTCCTGAGTATCTTTGAGAGGTCTGTCGGATGACACTGGCTAGTGTGTCCATCGATTTAATCATCAGGACTTCTCTGGAATCCTTAGTGACTTCCTTGGAAACTTTGTCTATTTCTCCATTAAAGATGGATGTTGAAGACCACGGGGCTGTATACAGTGGGGCTGTAAAGTTCTCACCCCAGTTACAGGAAGCGAGGAGGCCTTGACGACGAGCTAAGGTCAGTGCTGCTGAAATAGATGTAAGATGATCTGTTAGGAACTGCTGGTCTTTCTTTTGCATAAGTAAGGCAGAATAAATCATTCTATCATCCTCAGAAGTCGTATCACGAAATCTGGTGATAAGAGTCTCATTGATCGTTCTAGATCTATTTAAACCAAAAAACATACGTCTCGTCATGGTTTCTATCTGGACTAACTTGCGATCATCAATCTTGTAATTCTTGTACTTGACATCGTTGATCAACTTATAGTTCTCATCGATGTCCTGAGCTTTGAAGAAGGGGTCCATGTTATGCGTGGAGAACTTCTTGGCATGAAAGTTTGGTAGATGTGGTGTCTGAACTTTTCGTGGCTTTGTGGAATGCTGCATCTAGATTCTGTGGAACTGCTGCAATCGGGATTCGATCGGTGGTAGTGTGATAGCATCTGCATCGTCTTCTTTCATCAGATATGTCTGCGCCACATTGCCATTTTTAGATGGTGATGAGAGATCTAGGTTATTGACCATCCAATACCGTATCTCAGCATCGGAGAAAATAACTCCTCCATCATCCTCTATACCATCATCATTGATGAGAGGTTGGTGCTGTTCTGGACTGCGTGCTTCTGTCTCTACGTCCGGCGATGCTTGTGCAGCTCTGTATGGTGATCTGTAAGGTGATCTGGTGGTGATGAGCGAAGAGGAGATCGTCTAGGTGATCTCGTCTATGGGTTGATCTTCTCGGTGACCTGTGAGGAGAACGTTGATAGCCAGCGAAGCTCTTGTGTAGTCCCTCGATGTCCTTCTAGATGATGAAGATCTGGATTCAGCTGGCCAGCGAATGCCCGGCGAAGCTTCCTCTGCGTCGGTCGAGGATTCACGATAAGACCTTAGCGAAGGCTTTTCGTGATGTCTGATGGTCGAGTCCACATCTTGGGATGAAGATGGCGAGGGTGAAGATCTATCCGCCCGCGAAGGCCGCGAAGGCTGTACATCTAGGTCCTTCGTGGAGGTGGTCCGTGCCTTCCTTCGCGAAGGTGACATCGTCTTGGCTGCTACGTTGACGGGGGGTGCCTCTGGGGTGCTGTCTACGTTGGAGCCTTCGCGAAGGCTCGGTCCTTGCTTCTGCAGTCTATATCGGTCTTCCATCATCGTCATAATTTGCTGCATCAGGTCATCAGGGATGGTCTGCGACGATGTTGTCTGCGCCTTCTCTGCGGTGTTAATGATGGGGTCCACAGCAATAACGTCTGACATCGGTGTAGAGGCATCAGGCTGCATGAAGATCTCTGCTGAAGTCACTGTCGCTGACACCGGCCGCTTCTTGTGCCGTATGTCGGGGATGATAATCGGCTGGTCATCGTAGAGGCCCCTTTCTTCGGCTGGAACGATCTCGGCTGAGAAAGTTCTCGCTGTCTTCGTAGACTTCCTTTGGATGTCGGCGCTGCCCTGAAGTCACGAAGTCTGCGTTGAGAAGGCGTCGAGGCCCTCTTGGACTTTATCTGCGATGGCGGGATGTCTGGGGAGGCGGCCGCTTCTTAGAGGTGACGGACTGCATCCCGTCCCTCTTCGATGGGGTCTCTAGCAGAACACCAGGCGGTAGGGGTCGATCGCCAGCAGCTGACTAGATGGAGTATCTGGGTATCAGCCATATTTAGCCCTTGTTTGCGTGACCTATCTGCAGCACGTCTTAAGGCGCAAAGATAGTATTTATTAAATGCAGAATTAGATAAATTAATGCAATAACTGCAGCGTGAATCAAAGCACTGCAGTAGAACAACTAGGGCATATTACATGCGGATCTGAGGCAGAAAAGCGTAATCTACAAATAGTACAGATTTTCATCAGCGTAATACTAGCTGAACAATCACGAATACCGTGAATAAACAGTAGAAATACGATAAATAATCAATACAAATTGCTGAAGGATACTAGCTATACCTCTATAGTACACTATAGGAGGTAAAAACTAAGAAAAATCAAAGGATATGTTGTGTAAGGAGACACAGGCTCTCACATCCTGCTCACTGGGCGAAGAAGGAGAGAGTGAAGCCACGAGGTATGAGGTGGCGACACCTTTCCGCCAAAAGGGATCAAAGGGGAGCAACTCGTGGTGAGTACTGATTAGTGATTTTACATTGAAGGGAGCTTCAATTAAGGAGATACAAGTGTTTCCACTATGTTCGCAAGAAGAAGAAGACAAGCAAAAGAGCATGAGTCAGGATAAGGAAAATATGTCCCAATTTATAAAGCCCTCGTTACTGAGGTGATAGACTAGGGGTTAAAGTGTCAGACTGATGCTGCATACCATCATCTCCTGTTGTTGATGTCACCTCCTGTTGACCAAGACAGTCTGAGGCATGCCGCTCTATGAGGTTAACTCGGAACAGCTTGGAACACATTGGGCACTGGATCTGTGAACACAAACGATTATTCTGTGAACTCATCTATCGATCTATGGTGTCATCAATGTGCAAACAGAAAGAGTGAAATGGCTGTACACTACATTTTCAATATTCCAGAATATCAAAAAAGGGGACACACATCAACATCACAAAAGAAGGCTCTCATTGTTTTCACATAAGAAATTGAAGTTGGACTTTGGGTGTGATTGGTAGATACCCCAACACCCATCTTCATCAAGACCAACACCCATAAAAGCCTCAAAATCTGACATTATTACCTTTCCTTCTGTGCACAGCTCCGGTCCTGGCTCAACTACCTCCCCAGAATCGTCGGAGTCAGCAAAGTGCAACTTACTCCTAAAGTTCTTCCCTTTAACTTGAGAGGTACTGGCAGAAGTAGATTCCTTTTCATAAGTGTCTGTTACAATTATTGGAATGATCCTGTCCTTTGACGTTGAAGCTACTGCAGGCTGTTTTGAATTAGGACTCAAATTCCTCACTTTTAATCCAGACTTATTTGTTTCAAAATCAGAATTGTCCTTGCTGAAGAAATCATCATCCAACATGGCTTCCTGTCTGGTGGTGGTCATGCTTGCACGTTTCTTCCTGGTGAAGTTGTGTCCGATTCTCCTTACAGAGAGAATAGGGCTTTCATGTACAGAAGGAAGTCTCTCCTTGCCAGGGATCTCTCCTTCAGAATCTGATGACACAATGTCTATTGTAAGTCTTTCCTTACCTCTGGCGGCCTTGTCCTGTACATCCCGTTTAGTCCCACTCTCAGATATTGACAGGGAACTACCAACAAATGCTTGTCTGGGGCTGACTTGATGCTTCCTCTTGGTAACAAAACATCCAACATCAGAATCTTTGGAATCATCTTCGTCTATATCAAAATCAAAAGTCATCGTCTTCTCAGACTTTGCTTTTTGGAAAGATTTAATCTCCCCTTGGGAGTTAATGAGGGAACCTGACTCTCTGCTCTGGCTGCTAGCCTGACTTCCAGGAAGTTTGGGGCTGAGACTGATACTGTCTTTTCTCGAATCCTGAGAGCAGGTCACGGTTGACGGACTAGATTTTCTTAACGACCTCCTTGGCAAAACTTCTGAAGTAAATTTGGGATCACCACTTTCTTTCACATCCTCCAGTCTTTTTATTGTCTCCCTTTTCTGGATTTCAGTTGGACTGTTCACTATGGTTTTCCTTGGCTGAATTTCCATGGGACTGTCAGAGTCCCTGCTTTGTACTTCCGTCAGCTCTGGCTCAAACGTTTCTGTGTCAGCCATATAGAGGTCCTCCTCCATGGCTAGAGTCTGTGGTACAAGCGTGGGGAAGACTGGCGAGTCCGCCACTGCATCCTCACTGAAATGACACTGACCTGCTTCAGGGGGTTTGTCGCTTGAACTAATTCCAATATCTGGAAGACTCTCCTCATCCTCGTTCGATGGATCTCTCCGTGTTGGGATTATTCGTCGTGGCTGTATTCGTTTATGTTCATTCACATCAGTCTCTGAGCTCTTAGGACTGTCAGGGGAACTACTTTTGTGGACGAGCTTCCGGGATTTTGTTGCTCGTAACAATCTTTCTCCCGTCCGGGATTTAATTCTTAAACGGCCTTCGCCGCTCTCAACTTCTTCATCGGAGGATTTTTCAAAACGAATTGTAACTTCTTCATCTGATTCAGAACTCCAAGAATAAGATTTCTGTCCACGGCCTTTGGCATCAATTGTACGGGTCATATGTCTACCAGGTTTAACTGATTCCCCCCATTCAATATAAGAGTCGGCCTTCACCTGCTCCTTGCTCAGTTTACGGAAATAAATATCGAACAGCTGGATGATGACTTTAGTGTAGGATATGTGGTCAGCAGAGACAGGAGCATAGTAGTTTCTTCTGGAAGTGTCCTGTTGAAATACATAAAACATGCACACATGAACTTAGAAAACTGGACATAAAGAAAGTGTGAGTAAGTAAGTGAGTGAGTGAATGAGTTTAGTTTTACGCCATACTCAGATATATTCCAGCTATATGGTTGCAGGATGCAAACAATCGAGTCTGGACCAGACAATCCAGTGATCAACAGCACGAGCATCGATCTAAGTAACTGGGATAATGATGACATGTGTTAACAAAGTCAGCGAGCCTGACCACCTGATCCCGTTAGTTGCCTCTTACAACAAGCATGGGTTACTGAAGATCAATTCTAACCCGGATCTTCATGGGTAACACACAGAAAGAAATTTCACAATACTTACTTCCATTTCTCATTCCATCACCCAAGTTGAAATTAGTTTATGAAAGATATTTACGGTACACTGATTCTTAACATGAAGTATTACAAAGCAATAATTTCCAGAAGGATTATCGTTTTCAATTTTTGAACAAATAGTTTAATAATGCTAAGAAACTTCATAAAGATAGCAGTTATTTGAGTGAGTGACTGAATGTTATTTTATGCCAGTCAGCCATATGATATCATGACACCCTGCAACAAATTCAATCTGGGCTAGTCAATCCAGTGGTCAAATGACTGAGCAGTAATCCATCCCTCAGAGCCCAATGACACACAACAAGCCTTCCCAGGTATCCATTCAGAATTTCATTCTATGTCTTTTCTCAAAAAGGTAATATTTACGAAGTTTTGCAATTATCAGGCCTTATCTCACCTCTCAAGAAACAAAACATTCATCTGACTGCATAAAGTATAAACTACCTATAATTTGAGTCAATCATAAACTTTATTGAAGGACATGACTGGTTGTCAGCCAGCCAGCATTAAACATGGAACATGTAGTGCCCAAATTCAGTACCACCCTATACATCATGAGTGAGTGAGTTAATTTTTGTGCCTCTTTTAGCAATATCCCAGCAAGGAACACCAGAAACGGGCTTCACACATTGTACGTATGTAGGGACCGAGTTGATCGCAGCAAGGTAAGTGGCCAAAACCTGGGTCTTTGGTGTGATGAGCAAAATGCTTTTACCACTAGGCTACCCAACCGCCCCCAATGGTATCATGATAGATATCTAAACTAGAGGTTGTCACAGTAAGCATACTGGACCAACCATTCAAGGACCAGAGCAAATACTGAAGTTCAGGAACCGTCGAGACCTTAGAGCCTGTGGTGGTAGCCAGGACCGAGTTGATCGCAGCAAGGTAAGTGGCCAAAACCTGGGTCTTTGGTGTGACGAGCAAAATGCTTTTACCACTAGGCTACCCAACTGCCCCAAATGGTATCATGATAGATATCTATACTAGAGGTTGTCATGGTAAGCATACTGGACTAGTCATTCAACACAAATACATGTGGGATGTCCCTTTCATCATGATCAACTACACATCAGAACACTCCAAAACATGAACTTACATTTTCCTGTGACCTCCTGAGTAACCTGTTTGGATTCAAAAAGAAGAAAGAAAAGATTTTATTAAAATTACAAGACACCTAGAAGACAAAGAATTCACCAATCAAGGCCAAAGCCGAATGAATCAAAGGAAAATAAGCATGGAAAGGGATGTAATTTGAAGAGTGGTTGACATGGAAAGGTAAGAAGACTTACTAAGCTATATTTAGGCAGCACTGTTACTGTTGACTTGAATAAGTCTCAATTGTCAAACCAACCTATCCACCTAAGACCATGAAAATGGCTGACAAATCATAGTTAACGTTTGTACAAGCAACAAAGTAAATACTTACGCAGCTTTTGAATATTTGCGTTTCATGGGAATCAAGGGGGACAACAGAGAATCCTGTAACGAAAGCATGAAAATATATCTCTGTCAGAGTTACCAACTCTTTCAGACAAATTTGGGAGATATTCTGTTCCAATTCAGATGGGCTTAGTATCAACAGAAATTTTTATTTTTGACAACACTTATTCTTGCTGACATTAACCAAGTTAAACACGAAAATCTTGATCATCACCCTCACGTTGTGGAATGTGCAGAATATGGGGAAACTTTTGTAAAAACAGTCTAGTTTCTCTAATTACATGAACTAAGAGTTGGTCCGACTGGACTATATTTGGAAATACAATTTTATGCTTTGTCATGTAAATACCAGCATTCAACTGAAGCTATATGAACCTAAAATTACCTATGTGCTGTTTTCTTAGTCTGACATTAGCTTTTGTATAGTTAGGGATGCCAAAAAATATAAGCTTGTATAATAGATGATACAGTGATGTCTTGATTCTTAAACAAGGAAAAAACCTACCTTTTCTGCAGCTGCAACTTTCTTGCCTTCACTCCTCAAGGCCCTGAGGAAAGAGAGACAGAACTTAAAGGAACTTGGCAGAATACATAGCTTTAGTACCTCACAGAACACTTTGCTCTGAAGTCCCAAAGAGAACATCCATGTGCAATTTATCAGGCAGTTCTAGGATTGAGGCATGTTCCTGATCAAGACAGACTGTCAGAGTTGGAAATTTTAAATATAAATTGTATATTTATATACTTATCCTATCTCACGGATGCACTTCTCTCTCTTGATTCGACACTGAGTGGAACGATGTAAACTTTTTTCCCTTGGCCTCTCTTGTCCATCCGCCCAAGCTACCGCTACCCTCATTATAAGACAGCTTCCTAGTTGTCATGCAAAGCATGCGGCATGAACCACAAGCTACCCACGTGACTATCTCCGAATCATCATTCTCATTCTTGGAGCCACTGGAATATCAATCTTGGAGAATCTGCATAGCGGGGAGGATAGGCGGGAATCCGTCGCGTGCGATAGGACAAGTATATAAATATACAATTTATATTTAAAATTTCCAAATTTTAAAACTTATCCTATTTCACGGTATGCACTTATCCCACGGTTGGATGGCAGGACGCAGATACCCCGTGTCTTGTCAGTGCGAACAGTAGAACTGTGTAGACTGGAAACAACCGTAGATAGCGATGCACAAGGGAGGCCTGTTACGACTAGCGCAACTCCTATGCTTGTGCGGAGTTCTGTTGAACTCCTTGGCTTACTAAGCACGTCTCCCAGTGAGATGGGTGCTTCCGGGCGATGTGATGTTCGGCCGCAACCTCCGAAGAAGGACGCAGGTCAGCGAGAAAGGATGTCACTTCACCACGATTTTCAAGGTACCCCCGTAAATTAAAGTCATAGGCAATAATTGGGCCAGCCCCTGCTTCGCGACGGTCCCCACAGACACCGACCAGGGGCCGGTGAAAGAGAAGAACAACTCAGTTCCAGTCAACATCAAATTGACCCTCACTCCTTTACATAAGCTTAGTCAAAGGATGAGCCTGACAACTTTGGAGTCAGAACGCAACGAAATCCACTGGAATGACACACTTCATTGACGTAATTGCTTCGAAAAGTAGAGGTCAGGAAACATGATATGTCGAACCCTTCCACATCGTGATACAGAATCGAGCTTCAGATTCGTCCAACCACCGAGGTGGTAGTATCTCCGTGTCTTAGTATAAAACTAAGTGAAGTAGTTCTAACCCATAAGCAATCAAAACCTAAGGCAGACATCAAGTTCAGACTTATATTCAGGAAAATACAGGGAAGCAGCAACTGCGTGGGACCGTTCCCTATCTGCGTTGGTGGGCCGTAGACAGCTGTTGTGCGAGAACAAGGGGTCCAAACTGGTACTGGCCTTGGACATCCTTGACTGAGAGGTCCCGAAGGTAGTGCGAGGAGAAGGCCGAGTCAGATCGCCAGAAGCATCCCTCCATAATGGCGTGGAGAGAGCAGTTACTATGCAGAGCCATTGTAGACGCTTTAACGCCCGTGTCTCATGTGGATTGGAAGCTGTCAGGGCCGGTAACCCAGCGAAAGTGTAAGCCCATAGGATGGTGGCTCTCATCCAAAAGGATAATGTGGTGCGAGACACTTCCACCCTGGATGTTGAGGACCCCAACGGAATGAAGAGGCGGAACCGTCGAAACCTTAGAGCCTGTAGTGGTAGCCAGGACTGAGTTAATCGCAGCAAGATAAGTGGCCAAACTGGAACCCTTTAGCTTCTTAGACGACCGCAAATGCTGAAGAAACTCAGCGACAATTTGAGGCGAAGTAGAAACGGGAGATGTAATGCCTCTGGATGTGCAATATCTCTCAAAACATTTCCACTTCTCATCATAAAGTGAGCAGGAGTCCGATGAGAAGAAGGGATGGCCATAGCCACTCTCCGAGAATACCCCTTGGCGATTAAGGACTTCTGCAGATGCGCCAAACGTGCAGGGTGCAAAGGGATACATGACGCAGATCCGAGTGAGGGTGTAACAGTAGGTCGTCCCGATTGGGAAGAGGAACTGGGTTGAGGTCTGCCAGCTGTGCGAGATCGACAAACCAATTCCTGACTGGCCAGTAAGGCGCGACCAAAGGCAGTAGAATCCGCCTGGTCGCCAGGAGTTTCTGGATGACTCTGGGTAGAAGAGCCGGAGGGGGAAAGGCGTAAGAGTTGAGCCCCTCCCGCTAAATCGCCAGAGCGTCGAGAGCCCACGCTAGCTGGTCTGGTATCGGCGAGACAAACTGCAGGAGCTGAGGGTTGAACCACGTGGCGAATAGGTCGGCTTTGGGGCCTTGATAACGGGAAGACCAGTTCCCGAAAGATCTGTGGCTTCAATTGCCACTCCTTGGGAGACAGCCGATCGGAGCTGGACAGCGCATCTGCGATGACATTCCTGACTCCGGAAATGTGTCTGGCTCGAGCATCGATGGCGAGGGAGTCATTCAGATGGAAGAAGCGAAACGCCAGCTGAACCTGTCGACCTGAGATGGTTGACGTACCAGACGATCTTGGAATTGTCTGTCTGAATCAGCAGGGAGGACCCCTGAAGTTCCATCACCCAATGTCGAATGGCGAGAAGAACCGCCAAGAACTCGAAGTTGATGTGCAAGTCCCGTTCTGCAGACAACCACAGCCAGATCTGGGGGAGGAGTAGTTTCCTGCGCAGGAGTCCAGGAATCTGGCACAATCCGAGGAGAGAGATGCGAGGAGGCAGGAGTCCCGTCAGAAGTCGTAGCATGCTGTGATCGAAGCTCGGAACCCTGTTGATTAGATCGACGATCCGTAGAACCATATCTGTGTCTGGCGGGGGACGAACCGGGAGAGGATGGAAAAATGGAGGCCCGCTGAGGAGAATGGGAGCGAGGAGGGGAGGTATCGCAACGATAACGAAGATCCCTGGATCTTGAACGATAGGCAGCAGTCAACCGTGAAGGATATCTAGGTTGACGGTTCGAGAGCGCAGAACAGGAAGTCCCATGATGATGAGAAGACGAAGTCCGAGGAGGTGACTTGGAACGAAGAACCGATCTCAACGAAGCAGAGGGAGGCGTGTGCTTAGTTGAATGTGAACGAGTCGAAGAGTGAACGGTTTTAGAGTTCTGCTCCGGAAAAGAGCACTACCACGAATTTCAGTCTAAGTCGAACTTGTTGCCATGGAAACGCCAAAAATATTTTATTCAGAATTCCAAAACTACCAAAAGGCACCAGTACACCACCAGATCTATCTATGTGCCAAGTTTGGTGAAGAAATATTCAACGGTTTTAGAGTTCTGCCCCTGGAAAAGACAAATGTGCACGGACGGACAGACGCGCACGCACGCACGGACGGAGTCCATTTTAATACCCCCCGCAAAATGCGTTGAGGGGGATAATAATAATAGGAGACTGATCCAGACGACTCGGTGAAAGCCGCGTTCATGCTGAGGAGACGTGACTGTAGGATCCAACAGAGTTCGGGGAAGTACTCAGATGATCCGGAGAGAGGCATTCCGCTGAATACCGCTTGGAAGAAGGCCGTTTCGACAAAAAGTCGTTTCACCACATGCCATCTCGGTGAAGTCTTCCGTTTCGGCGAACGTTGTGACGAGCTGATTCTTGTCTGAAACAGATAAGCCAGGTTGCCAAGATAACTGGTCCGGAAAACGAGAGACAGAGTGTAGTTCGAAGGTCCCGCTGTGTAGAGGTATCCTGAGGGGTGGTAGCAGTCTCGACAACCACTACCTGGGACGTGGTGGAAGACGAAGGACTCAGGCTGGAATGTTGAGAGTCCAACAAATTTCGAAGGTCTTAACAGAATCTGATGACGCTCATGAAATCCTCTTCATTCGAGGGAGGGAACTGTGACCGCCGAGCAGACAAAGTAGGACGCTTAAACTTTCCTTCCTTGGAGGGACTGGGTCCGTCAAGTGAAGCGGCATAATGAGCTCTGTCAGCAACATGACGAGCGCAAGCTGGAGTGTAGTCACCAAACGCCTCGAAGGTAAGATCCTTGCATTTATCGCAACGAGAGTCCCATTTACACTGTCCCATACAGTCAACACAATACGCATGTGGATCACTCGCGGAGAACACTTTATTACACCGGGAACATTTTTTCCTCTTTTGGGGCTGGTCAGCTTTCCCCATGTTGTAGACATACGTTCACACTCAAGTGCGACAAGAAAGAGAATGATGATTCGGAGATAGTCATGTGGGTAGCTAGTGGTGCATGCTGCATGCTTTGCATGACAACTAGGAAGCTGTCTTATAATGAGGGTAGCATGGAGTGCTTTGGCGGATGGACAAGAGAGGCCAAGGGAAAAAAGTTTACATCGTTCCACTCAGTGTCGAATCAAGAGAGAGAAGTGCATACCGTGAGATCGGATAAGTTTAAAAATATGGTATTTTGAGGCGACATATTCAACTGTGCCATGTGTATTGTTAGGTCATTGCCATATTTTGATAAGATTAATCTGGTACTAAATGACATTATCTTCACTCTTCACACATTGTTTATTTTCTAATGTCTCTCCTTGATGAACATCACTGTCACCTATATCTTGTTTGTTCAGGGGTATGTACACTGTACAGTCAAACAACTCAATAGTGGGCTGTACCTTGTCTTGCCCTTGTGGTGGTCGGCCTCTTCATCTGAAACTGTTGTTCCTGGTAAATCCTGCAACAGGAGGGATTGGAATCAGAATCAGAAGCATAGTCATACTGCAGCAGACGTGTAGCTGAGCTGACTGAATTCACTGACTGACTGAGTTTAGCCAGCCAGCAATATCAAGGAACACCAGAAATGGGCTTAATAGTCACACATATCATTAACTAGGCTAAGCATTAGGAAAACAAGGGGACAGAAGTACAAATCATGACAAAATCAATACAATATACAAAATACAAGTAACCTTTCATATGTTTTTTAACTTCAATGTAGTTATTGTCAGAAAGTCCCTGTTACAAGATTGAAGATCACCTCCTGGGAAAGGGTGACCCTTATTTGTACAGCATTAAAGCTAATTGACAGAAATTCTGATATTTTCTTTTTTGAAACCAAAAACCAAAACCCCCCAAAAACAACCAAAAAATGCAACTAATTCACTCTCACATTCATACTGTACTATTGTAAGTTTACAATAAACTGATAGCTTTTGCTGTGTCTGCTTTTCACTTATACTTTGGCTAGATGAAACTGAAATGGCGCTACTGTAGAGGTGTGAAGTCTTGAGTAACCTTTCATAATATTAATAATTGATCTGCTTGAACAAGCCAAATGAGACCAATAGCACGATGAGATCCAAAATGATAGTAACTATGGTAACACTTCTCAGCAGTCCTACTGGTGATATGTTGGTGAGATTTATGATTGATTGATGACAGATGATGATTTTTATGGATGTACAATGTGAATGACCCCCCATCCCCCTTAAAATTTCACCACCCCACCCCTTCCCATAATTCTTTTAATATTATTATTAATATATTGCTGGCACCCCCTTCCCCCCAAAACAAACAAAAAAGAAGAAAAAGAAGAAAAACAACAAAACAAAACAAAATGGGTGACCACCCACCCACCTCTTTAAAAAAAATCATCACCCCATCATTAGCCATAAATCATGAATGGTCCCATTTGGATAGGATCCCGCAATTTCAGTATTCTTGAACATGACAAAAATCTGAAAGCTATTTGCCTCTGCTGGGCCTGTGACCCTGCTCCCAGTAACCTAACTGGAATGTTAAAAGGTACAGGTCAAGATGGAATGAAGGTGTATTAATAATCTCTCACCATGGGGATAGTTTCTCCTTCAAATAACTCCTGTGAGCCTGGTGCCTGAGTTTCTTCTGTATCAACTTCCACTGTCTGGGTGGGCTGGCTGCCACCTGACACACTCTCCTGGAACATCAACATGACAGGCTTGACAACCAAAGACTGGAAGTCAACAACAACAAACGCCATTGGTCCAGTTCGCGTCTTTAGCCACAGGTCCATAGTGTGTTTTATGACATTTCAATAAGTGTAGTAAGATTTACTGATTAAAGGCCATACATCAACACAAATATAACAGGGTTCATACAGCCAAGAGCCCATGAGATTCAGGGGCTTTTCAAGGGCTTTTCATGGACACATGATGTTTTCAAGCAACACTTTTCCCCAAAAATATCGGAGACAAGTTTCACTTTCGGTTTCGACATTGCCTCTTCCAGCATTAACAATGATATATCAGAATGCAGCGCAAACGCCAGATTCAGAGAGAGAGCCCCGTTTCTCTTGTTTCATGATGTAAGGAACCAGCAAATAGACGCAATTAAATCAAAACAATCGATTGATTGTCAGTGGAACCACAACAAATATTTTAATGAAATTTCAAGCACTTTTCAAGGACACACTAACAAATCCAGTACTTTTCAAGTACTTTTGTGGTAAATTTTCAAATTTAAATACTTTTCATCAAATGTAGTTAAATTCAAGCACTTTTCAAATCTGTGCGAACCCTGTATAATAAACTGAAAAGGATGCAATGAGACAGGCGTCAACAAGCATATTCCAAAGTTACTCTCATAGGCTGCTGGTCATTGAAAAGATGTTTATCATATACATCATTAATAACAAAACAATGTGCTGAAGATCTATTCATATAAGTGTACCTTACACAAGTCCTGCAATGGTTATTGCTACACGTGAGCAATGCTGACTAAGTGTATAGGTTCCATGTTGTGACCTCTCTACCTAGATGCAGGGATTTACCTTGAGTCCTGTATTTGAGGGTCCCTGTGAGTCATACTCTTAATTCTCAGGGGTCCTGGACTACAAAATGGGGTTCCAGACTCTTAAATATTCTTATTAATACTATGTTGTAATATTGTTGAAAATCAGTTACTGTTATTGTGTTATGTATCATGTTTATCACATTGTTACAGTAATTAAATTGTAAATTATCCCCGGCTAGTAGCAAACTCAGTGATAACAACTTGCTACTTGATCGTAATTTTTACAAAAAGCATTTGGACTTTTCTGCGTCCCTGTGGACGCGCTAATATATTTTGTTGCGTCCATGGTCAATTTTTATGAGTATAGGATGCAGGAATTTGCGTCCTGTAAATCCCTGTAGATGGCCATCACATTGTAACAAGATGCATCATTACAGCCCTTGTATGAAGACACATGGGGACATTTCAACCATGGTAAAAGTATTGGGGTAGTAATGAACCCCTCTTCCTCCCCCAATGAGGATTTCCTGGCACCATTTACCATGTTGGAATGTCCTATCCTGCCATGTCAGATGTGTAGCAGATTGCAGGGCTAGTTGTTACAATTACAGCTTGTCTTCATTTGATGCAGATAAGTTTACTTTTCATTCAAACAAATGGTTCAGTAGGTTTTCCATTACTGTTTACCGGTAAGTTTATCCATCTCTCAAATCATCAATATTCTAACTTGACTCGAGAACATATTACCTTGTCATTACTGTATTGCCAACAAGAATTTCAATCATGAGAATGAATCATCAATGATCCAATCTTTACAGATCTAGTTACTTAACTCACTTTGATGAAGACAGAAAATATACTTTTTCACAGAGGCCCAGATAAGCTGCGTATCCGGGTAAAATACTCATAGAAAATTCCCATTTACGCATTGAAAAATAATTGTTGCGTACCAATTATGCATTTAAAATGTTAGATATGCAAAAAGTTTAAAACAAATGCATACGGAATATATTTATAAAAATCGCTTGCGTAATGAAAATGACATCGATTGCTATCAGTATAGGGCAAGTGTTGTACTGTCAGTATAGGATGAGTGATTTCCATTATATTTAAGTTGGTTTTGATTAGGTATGACATAAGGCAGAACATACCTGCTTAGTAAACTTACTCAATGACATAATACTTAAGTGAGTAAAATGACTGAAATACGCACATATTTGAAAGCAGTGGGTAACGGAAATTGAAACATCCACTCAACATTTATAGTACCCACTCCAAAAAAATACAGTGGGTACAGTACCCACATGAGCTAAATCTTATCTGGAGCTCTGCTTTTTCATTTCTTTACCAAATACCTAAAATAACATAAAAGGTACTATCAGAACAACAAAAATATGATTCTATGACCAAAACTCAAACCTGTCTGTCTGATTTCCGTAGTGTTCCAGCTTGTTTCCAAGCCTCTTATCTAATTTATGTTGACGATCATGCATACTATCAGCCACAAACAACAGCTGGCATAATAATGAAATGGAATGGTATTTGTATATAATTCGTAAATATTATTGATTCCAGTCTGCCTTACAAACCATCAATTCAACCATGCAAAATTATGCTGATTCTAGCGCATTCGAAACAATTATGTTAATGTGCATATGCCTATAACTGTTCTAAAAGGATAGAGTGTAGGAAGAGGACGAAGACGAAGAGAGAAAGAGGAAGAGAGAAAGAGGATGAAAGGGAGAGATCCAGGTTAATTTGGGTTTTATCTAAATGTATTTTAATCTAGGGACCTCCAAATTTTGAGTGGATGTGTGTGGTTGGTTTGTTGTATAACACCACACTCAGCAATAGTCCAGCTATATGGTGGTGGTCTGTAAATAATTCAGTCTAGACCAGACAATCCAGTGATCAACAGAATGAGTATCGATCTACACAATTGGAATGTGTGTCAGTGAGTGAGTGAGTGGATGAATGAGTGAGTGAGAACTGCTTTTAGCAGTTTTCCCTACAATATCACAGTGAAGGACAACTGAATCTAACCCAGGCCTTCTATGCAACGGCAAAGTACTGTAATCACGAGGCTAGCCATCCAAAGAGTTAGAAACTTTACATGAGGGTTATGACAGGGACGCTTAGATGCTCATGCTGACCACGGCTGTAGCATATCAGGGGCACCTTGTCATGATTCTAATAAAAAATGACCTTGAAAAGAAACACAAGGACCTCTGGAACCCACTAAATTAGAACTGAGAGCACCTAATACATGTACATAAATATAGGTTTGGCCTGAGATGTCACAAATATGGCAGTCTTGGTAACAAATCTGCAAGCCGAAGTTCTTCGTATGTAATGAAATCAGCTAGTCCACTCACTGATAACAATGAACAACAAACAGGAAATATTTCAAATTCTGACTCGCAGTCTGAAGTTTGTGCTTTAAGCACAAATGAGTTCAAAAAGCTTTTATAAACCTACTTCTACCCACCTAGCAAAAACACCTCATTCTATGAGAAAACATTCACAGTTCACGTTTACATTTGAAGATGAATCATGTCACATGCACATCTGATGTAATGGTCAGTGATTGAAGGGAGACAACTCCACTTGGCCTATAAATGTGTAGCGAACAGACTGTTGTGAAGATGTCATAAAATCCCAATATAAATAAACTGGAGTTGTGTGAAAACACAGAAATTATCTTAACCTTAAGCCCCCATAATGAAAACAACAGAGCAAAACTACACTAGAACAAAAAGGTAACCAGCAGTATTAGCTGTCTGAGTTTTGGTTTGTTGTTGGTTGGTGACGTGAGGTGAGGTGAAATTGGGTTTTACGTCGTGCTTGAGAATATTTCGCTCATTTGACGACGTGCATGCATGTATATGTGTATGTGCGGCTGCTTGTACTAGCCCAGACTTAAGCTGGTTTTATAGTGCTAGCCCACTGAGATACCATGCCGCAGTGAAGCATGAATACTCCACTCAGACACATTATATTGACTCCGAGCCAACCAGTCCTTGTTGTACCCATTAATGCCGAGCGCCAGGCAGGGACCAACAAGTACCATATTTTAACGTCTTTTTGGTATGACGCGGTCGGGGATCAAACCCACGACCTTCCGCTCTCCGCGGGCGGACACTCTAACCACTACACCACGGAGGCGGTCTGTTGGTTGGTATAAAACACAAGGAACAATATTCAATCCTATCTAACAGCAGTTGTTTGGTTGGTTTGTTGTTTAATACAGCACTCAGCAATATTCCAGCTATATGGAGGCATCCTGTAAATAACTGAATCTGACCAGCATGAGCACTGATCTACGCAATTGGGATACGATGACGTGTCAAACAAGGCAGCGAGCCACACCACCTTATCCTGTTATATTCAGTGATGGAATCGGATGATCATGGACCTTATTAGATAACGCTACACTCAGCAATATTCCAGCTATATGGCGGTTGTCTGTAAATAATCGAGTCTGGACCAGACAATCCAGTGATCAACATCATGATTCATCAATCTAAGCAATTGGGATATGATGACATGTGTCAACCAAGTCAGCGAGCTACACCACCTCATCCAGGTATATTCAGTGATGGATCTGTGTGCCAATGCCACAAAACCGGGCTCAAGATCCATCACTGAATATTACTGTGAGCATAAACTGACACTTCACATGTTATTTAGTAAATACATTAACATGTGTACATAAAAGAAATTAGTTTTCTCCTTATCACCTCTAAAGAATTAGATGCAAAATCCTTCATCTAACACATAAATATTGCAAAATGACCATCATCAAAACACACTTTGCATCAACTGGGACACAGACAATACATGCAGGAGGACAATACAGTGCACCTTAATGTATAACATTGTTTTACTGAGCTCCCATCAGGAACAATTACAACATGACTTTATGAGAGTTAGTGAGAATGGTTTTACGCAACTTTCAGCAACATTCCAGTAATATCACAGCGGCAACACCAGAAATGGGTTTCACACATTGTACCCATTTGGGGAAACAAACCTGGGTCTTAGGCATGACTAGCGAATGCTTTAACCACAAGGCTATCCCACTGCCCCTCATTAGGTTTCATTCAGGGTCCTCACAGTGTATTACACATTAAGTTTACTTTGTAACCAACCCTTGAATGGCTAGTACATCATCCTGTGGTCAGTGACGAACTACAAGATATTGTTACTAGTATAATCAGCTGAAAAATCAAGATCATTTCCAAATGTTGGTGCCATGCTATTGGATTAAACACAGCAGGGATGGAACATTCAGTTTGTTTGTTTGAATGTTGCAGTGAGCAACTTTTTAACGATAGATGGCTGTCTATAAATAGTCAAATCTAGAACAGACAATCCTGCAGCTGATATCATGCACAACGATTATGCAAGTGGGATACGATGACACGCAATGTGTCTGACCACCTGATGCTGTTAATCGCCTATTAAAGTATTAGTGAGTTTAGTGTTAAGCCGCTTTTAGCAATATCACTGCGGGGAACACCAGAAATGGGCTTTACACATTGTACCCATGTGGGGAATCGAACTCTGGCCTTCGGCGTGTCGTCACAAGCAAACCCTTTAACCACTAGGCTACCCCACCGCCCCATATCGCCTAATACAAGAAGTAGGGTTGATAAAGACCAATGCCAACCTGGATCTTCAATCCCGAGATCAATCACAAGGTCAACAGATGGATGAATAACACGTGTTGAAAGACCTTTATTAGGCCAGACCAATTTTATTTCTTGTTTTACGGATCCTCCGGTCGTATTTTTTCAAGAATAAGAAAAAAATAAATCATTTTCCCCACTCAAAAAATAAAATCCTAATGTTTTTATTGGCCAAAAATGTAAACTTACAAAAAAGATTTTTTGGGGTTGTTATTTGCCCCATATACACATTTTCCCCACTCATAAATCCTAATGTTTTTATTGGCCAAAATGTAAATCAAAAAGGTTTTCTGGGGTTATTTGCCCCATATACAATCCATGAAAGTAAAACACCGTAAGTATTTAAAAGGAATGTTACTGATGCCATTAGGTTTTCTGAGGACGAAAATCTGTAAAACAATTAAAATTGGCCTGGCCTTATTAAGTGGTTCAAATAATCAAGTGTTACACATAGAGACAGGATGTGACAATAGTGTTTGAAATTTAGGGCTGCACTCGGATCCTTTGTATAAAAATGTTCAAAAAGTTGTATAAAAATGCTCAAAATTAAAATTTCTGAGGCACCCCAGATTCAAATACCATAGGAGGAAGTCTATAAGATCATCTTAATTTTAGAGACTGCTTAGGCACTGTGCTGTTTAACTGTCTGTGATTTGGGTAATAAAGAAGTTGTCAAAAGTTTCAAAACTAAGCCCTCAACAAAGCATTTTGATTCATTTGCCTTTTTCGAAATTATTGAAAATGGGTATTTGTACAGAAAAATATGACTGGTCATAATTATCAATGGGCTTGATAACAAAAAAATATCTGAGAGGCTCAATGTTTATTCTCCATGTAAAAAAAATTTCTCCCCAAGTTCATTTGGCCATGGCGCCATATGACTGAAACAATGCCGAAGCGATGTTATATTTTAACTCACTCATTTGGACATAAATAGTTGAGTACTACCTGAGACAGCTTGACTTTGGCAGCTGACTTCTTCAGCAGAGTGGATGTCTTTGCCTGCATGGTCTCCAGCTGCTGCTTGTTCAGCAGCAGATTGCGAGACTTCTTCAGCCTGGTGTTAGCACTGTCAGCTTCCTGTGAGCTGTGACTTTCATCACCAACAGCCTCGTCAGTGAGTCTTCGCTTCCTCTGACGCTTCTCTGAAGCAATCTTCCTTTGATTCTGTGACAACAAAATGAAATAATGTCATGGAAACGTCTTATACTGAAACAGTGATACTATTTACTCAATCTGAGTTTAGTTTTACGCCAATTTTAGCAATATTCCAGAAATATCGCAGCAGGGGACACCAGTAATGGTTTTCACACATTGTACCCATGTGGGAAAACGAACCCAGGTCTTCGACGTGACGAGCGAACACTTTATCCACGAGGCTACCCCACCGCCCCTACTCACTCTGAAGGACCAATGGCCTTAACAGATATTAATATCATACTGAGGTCTTTGAATGGCATTTAGAAGTGCTACACATAAAGGCAGGGGTGGAAATAACTTTAAAATTGCTAGTGTACTCCGGTACAGTGGCACATGTAAAATCACTTGCCCTGATAATTTTTCCACCATACTGGCCGTTTTCTTGTTGATTTTTTAAATAAACAACATAATTAGCATTGGACAGTCAACTGGACACCGGTACAGTGTGATATACAAATTTGCTTGCCCGACAGAAAAAAACACTGGACTCGGACGTCTGGCAATGGGTTATTTCCACCCCTGAAAGGTGAGAACTTTACGGATGTCAACTTCTTTATTTGGAACACAGCTCCAGGTTAGAATTGGTCTTCAGCAACCGATGCTTGTCGCAAGTGGCGACTAATAGGACCAATTGGTCAAGGCTCGCTGACTTGGTTGACATGACATCTTATCCAAATTGCATATATCCATTCTCTTAAGTTAGATCCTGGATTTTCTGGTATAGACTCAACTATTGCCAAACCCCTGTCAAATAGTTGGAATATGGCTGAGTGCTTGAAACTGACCAAAGCATAGACCTATGATTACAATGAATGAAATTACTGGTATGCTCACCCTCGTGCCGGGTGGATCCTTTTCATCATCATCCACAGCATCTCCACTTCCTCCCTTAAATATCACATCATCAAGTGAGTTATCTTTGCATCCTTCTCCTGTCACTTTCCTTCTTGAAATCTTCCTTAGAGATATCCCGACACCATCCTCTACAGTAAACGATGTACTGGGTTCAGGGGGATTTATTGCCTCTTCTGTTTCTAATATCTTCTTTTGAAAACTGAGGTTTGTTAAGAATGGGAGATTTCCCTCTTTCTCCTATTGATGAGTTTGGGACATTCAAATCTAATGAATCATCATCATCTGATGTGCTTCTCCTAGTTCGAGTTGTTGAAGAACATTGTTTGAGAGATCTGGGTTTGTTGGCATCTGGTGACTCCTCTCTCTCTTCCTTGGACTGTAGGAGAACCATCTGCAGGGAAATACATCAAATACAAATCAACCATGCACAGTCTATATCCAGAACTTATCACATCTACAAGAAGACAAAGTCGTCAATATCCCCCGCAATAGCAAAGTACATTTTATGAATATGTCAACTAGCTATGACTATGTCAAATGTTTTGACGTGAATATGGCAAATTTTCTTTCCAAAGAAAATATAGATCAGGAACACTTTTGAAAGCATTTTTATGACTTCATTATTTCTGAATCTTCAATACCTATATTGGATTATTATATTAGGGTACTTGTAACAGATAGTTACTTTGTACATGCTTCACTCTTCATACATTCTGTCTTTTCACTATTTATGATATTAATCACTGTACATAATGTGTCATGATCCATACGTTTCCATTTTACTTCAATTTGCCCATCTGACGAACTGGTAGAGCAAATGCAGAGTGGAGCGTTGTTCCTTGAATGTTGCTTGCAGCCTTTCCAGTGGTTGCAGTAAGAACTACAAGGACATTGTCAGTTGTAAGACCCAGTTTTCTAAGAGCACAAATAACACCTCGACATAGTGTTTATCATGTGATTTTTTCCAACACCTGCGCCACCACACAAGAATATGGAGAAGGGGCTGGAGAATTCTCTTCAGAAGCAAGCTTTGTTTTTGCTGACCAAAAACCAGTACACCACCAGACCTATCTGCAGTAGCTGGCCATAACTGAGTCATCATTTGTGAAATTTCCATAGACTTGCATGCTAATTAACTCTTGCAAGAATGTTTTTCATAAATTTAGTTTCAGTCGAATTGCTTTCAATACTTATCTACCAGCTGGGAAATCATCTCAGCTACATACACATAATTTCCATTCAATTTTCCGACGATTATTAAGAAAACTGCAACTATTTAAACAACACATATTAGACATACCAATCAGGTTTAACATGGTTTATCTATGGGATAGATTAAAATGAAGTTGTACTTATGGTGCTTAATCAGGTGTCATTCGATAACTAATCAATGGAAAGATGAAAGAAAATTATGTACACGTAGCTGAAGATGACTTCCAAGATGTTTGCAAAATATCAAAATATAATAACTTCTACTCAATTTATGAAATTTATTCTTGCAATAGTTAACATGTAAGTCTATGGAAATTTCACTAATGATGACTCACTTATGGCCAACTACTGTGTGTATGTGCCAAATTGGTGAAGAAACATTGAATGGTTTTTATGTTCTGTTCCAGAAAGAGTACCAACACCAATTTCAGTCAAAGTCAAACTTGTTGCCATGGAAACGCAAAACAATTATCATAAAAAAATCCAAACTACCAAAGGGCACTAGTTCACCACCAGACCTATCTATGTGCACAGTTTGGTGAAGAAATTTAGAACGGTTTTTATGTTCTGCTCCAGAAAAGACGAATTTGTACAGACACATGTATGGATGGACAGACAGATGGAGTCCATACAAATACCCCCCGCAATACGTGTTGCGGGATATAATAATAGGGAACCAGTTTTTGCTATGGTGCATTATAGAACTGTATTTGTGCATATAATAGTGCACTGTGTTGTACTTGAGGTTTTCAGTGAAAAAATAAGAGTTTGTCACTAGGGTCTCGCTATTACATCACCAAAGATAATACAAGAGTCATCCAAAGAACACAAATCCCCCTGGCGCCGCCCCCACAAATTTGAAAGAACAAATCATGTGACAGTTACTGAAATCCAACTTGATGAGAGAATTTGGGTCTAATCTGTCCATCTGTATACAAGAATAATTATTGAGCAATCAAAACAATAACATGGAATTGGGATTGTAACGTTGTACTTCTATATCAGGTACACACCAATATCAAAGTCAAAAGAAAGAAATACAAATATAACAAATATTTAAAAGCAAAAGTCAGCAGTTGACAACATGGTCTTTGTGTGTGCACAATTCATGCAAGAATACCTATCCAGAAAAACAAAACTATGAACAGAGTCAGAGTCAAACTTGTTGCCATGGAAACAAGAAGCAAATTCATTTTCTTCGAATTCCTAAATAGCAAAAGGCATCACTTCAGCCCTTGGTGAATACGTGTACCCGATTTGGATAAAAAGTGTCTCATGGCTTTTAAGCAGTGCCCCGGAAACGAAATCCACCCCCCTACCTTTTGAAACTAAGTCCAAATCATTTCAATGGAAATTGAGAAAAATATAAATGTTAAATATCCATGAATAGTAAAAGGCACCGCTTTGGGATCTGTTTGATATATCTACCAAGTTTTGTTGAGACCTGCCTCCATTTCAGCTCAGATTAACTTGTTTCCATGGAGACAGGGAAACAAGAGTCATCAGAAGATGACATATCCCCCCGGCCCCCACATATTTGAAAGAACAAATCATCTGACGGTTACTTAAAGTCCAACTTGATTTGTTTTTTTAGACTAAGTCCAAATCGTTTCCATGGAAACCGAGAAAAATAAAAATAACAAAAGCTGCAAATAGCAAAAGGCACCACTTCAACATCTGTCACATATATCTGCCAAGTTGTGCTGAAAGATATTGAACGATTTTCAATTTGTGCTCCAGAAATGAAGCCCCTCCCATTTGAGACTAAGTCCAAATCGTTTCCATGGAAACCAAGAAAAATAAAAATTACATAAACTTGTAAATAGCCAAAGGCACCACTTTAGCTTATGTTTGATATATCTACCAAGTCTTGAAGAAAGATATTGACATTACATGCCGGGGGGATAAAAATGTAAATCGTCCTCAAGTAGCAAAAGGCATCAATCCAGGATCTGTTTGAAATATCTGCAAAGTTTTGTTGATAGATATAGAGCAGTTTTTGAGTTATGCTCCGGAAACAAAATGATGACAGGCGGATAGGCAGGAAGAAAGACGGATGCACAGACGGATGAAGTCTTGTCTATATCAGAGTCGAAGGGATAAAATCACTTATTTATGAAGTATATGAAAAGAAGTGAAAATGGTACTTACAGCCAGTTCAATAATTTCCTGTCTGGACATTCCATCATCAACAGTAATCCCGAAATCTAAGAGACAAATTATGACGTACATTATTATTACCAACTAAGTAACAGATACCAAATAATGATGTACTGCATGCAAAACCATTACCAAGTAATGTACCATAAAGGCAAAGATCTATTACTTACTACCCACATTTAGTTTCTCATTTTCTGCACACAAAATATTTGAGAAGACAGTGGTACAAATAGGGTTGCCTCTCAGTCTCAGCACGAAAACCTACAATGTTGTACAAAATACCATAAACTCTTGATTCAGGTTTTTAACAATTTTACAGTAATATCCTGGGTTGCAAGCATAACGTGGAAGAGAACCCCCCAAAGTGAAACATGTATCAGAAGTTTACCACCATGGTAATATTTCACATGACAACACTGATTGACAAAGGGAGAGTTAAAGACTGACTGACTGAGTTTGGTTTTACACCGCTTTTAGCAATATTCCAGCAACATCACGGCAGGGGACACCAGAAATGCTTTAAACACTAGGCTACCCCACCACCCCGGAGATTAAAAGAACGTATGACAAACATACTGTATCTAGATACACATGGTATTGCACACTTATCATGGGAATATACATTAAGTGACTAGGTGCGAAACACTGAGAGTGATGGCTTGAATCTCAGAAGGGACTCAACCTACGAAGTTATTAGAAGCTATACTTAACTGAGGAAGTGTAATCCTAAATATAATATATGTTATACCAAACATATCAGTGCATTGTTCAGGCATATTTACACACCCGAGATTAAATTGTGTTGTCCATGTTTCCTTTGTTTGGGTTGAGAACTGAGAAACATTCATTGTATACGTTTACAGTAACATCGGTTAAAATGTGTGAATTTAAATGGCTTCCAGATTTTACCCCATTCCATGTGCGTACCACGCTCATGAGGGTCCGTGATAACCTTAGTGTTGATTATATATATTTTACATAAAAATTGTAAATAAAATTCTTTTGGGTTAAATAATAGTATTCTGTATTATATTTTACTGACGACTGCGTCAGAATTCATCCCGCTATATTATTGTGCACGCGTTTGAACTTGTTCAGCCGGGTAACGGTGCACAGCTGATTGCTATTTCGGCTTTGTGTAACGAGACAAATACGCACGGTAATCTTAATCCCTGCAAATAATACAATGCCCAGCAAAACAACTTATAACTTAAAAGGTAAATAATCTTGTCTAGTGATGTTTAATAGTAAATTTGACGTCTCTACTGACAAAGTCGTCTTCTGTTGTTTGTTCACGCCAAGTGATAATGATGTTGTTTATTCAGTCAAAGCAATAAAAGTGCAGTGTGTGTATACCTTGACATCAAAATACTTCATCAGTTTATTTTCTTACCATTTTGAATCAACTGTTCAGCTTTTGCTAGTTCCTCGTCTTTATCTACGTGTTCATTGCGTTTTCTTCGCTTCTTTAGCCTATCTGTCCTCCCATGTCCATTTGAGTCATCAGATATGACAACCTGAAATATAGAGCTTGCAACTAGTCACAGGATGTTTATATGCTGCAGTCCTATAACAACAGTCTGTAAACCAGTGTTTAAGAGTAAATAGAGAACACTACACAAGGTCTCATTGCATACGAATTATATGAAACAAGTGTTCTTTTTATGGTATCTGACCTAGCGAAAGCGAGTGTGGTATTTTATTTATTACCCACGTCTTACATGCATTAAATTGACAAAATAGTGTATTTTTGTTATTGTTATGGTTTCAAACCAAAACCGGTTTCATAAAGAGGTTGCGTATGAATTTTGTTCTGTAGTCACTTTTGCATGACGTCACACTGTATTGACATCACTACGTCATTCTCGACTGTCCCCTTGGTAACATGTCAGTTGTCATCGCCTCATACAGCTCCCTACAGTAAACTACTCTGTAGTACCCCTTTTCTTGGTTTGCAATTGCTTCACTCAGCTAACATCACTGGTGGAAACATTGCGTTTATGTTTTTCGACAGATATAATGTCTCAGTTCGACTCACAAGTGAACAGCGATATGGCAACGTTCGCAATGTTTACATTCCCACAATGCATATAAGTTGTAGAATGAATGAATTCACATGTTCGTTATGAATGAACAAGTAGTTCCGTCACACTGTGACGTAACTGAGAGGTCATCGGTTATCCAATCAATCGCTAGTATCTCAGGTCAAGTCTTTACGACACAGGTCAACGCGATACGACACTCGTGTGACGTACGAGATCAGTATGCAACTACCCATACATTGACCACGTGGGTAATAAAAGAATGTCTCACATCATTAGGGAATCGTGTCAGATTGACATGCTAACCAAGCCTAACCATTTGAGCAAATTTCGTAGCTTTGTTCAAGCAACAGTGTTTGCTTTGTCATTTAACTCAACACTCAGCAATATTCCAGCTACTGTAAACGTATTATATTTCGCGCAGGTTTTATTTATACACCGCGAATAAACCTGTCATTCATTCAGTCTAGCCACGCTCGCCCCCGAGTTGTTACCATAACACATCACGTTTGAAGACAGAAATCAACGGGAATCTTAAAATGACGACTGATCATACTTAACTGTCGCTGTAATGGATTTCCCAAAACATAATTAAATAATGAGCCAAATCCCATTGCCGAATTGCGAAAACAGCAATGTGTGTTGTGGCCGCCATGGAAATTGGTCACATGACAGATGGTTTGATACAAAACAGATTACCGTGAAACGACTCGGAAAGAAATAATACTGCAGTATTTTATTTATTCATTAAGATTTTATTCACCAGTACATCATGAAGCGAATAGTCACTAACACTCAATCATCTCATTCACAACAACCTGGCTTGTTTGAAATCACAAAGAGCTTCATATACAGTTTAAGTTAATTCGTCAAATCGTCAGAATTTGGAACATAAGACTGATGTCTTCCGGGAGTAAACGGATTACTGTGTACTAGTATATCGCACAGATAGGGATTTCCTGTGAATAAGCAATAAACGCCGCCTGACAGGTTAAGCCACTCTGTTTGTTTTCACTGCTATTAGCGGCGGCCAAAGAGACAGCTGGCAGTTCCGGCAATTACTGATTGCGCGAATAATTGACCGCGCGATGTAGTCTAAACTGTCAATTCCGCGAAAATTGCACCATGCGAAAATAAGTACGTTTACAGTATATGGACAAGACAATCCAGTGATCAACATCATGAGCATCAAGTTACGAAATTGAGAAACAATGGCATGCATCAACCAGGTCAGCAAGTCTGAACTCTCATTGCTCTAAGGACAAGGATGGGTTGCTGAAGAAATTAAAGCCCTGATCTTCATGGGTGTGATATTTTATCTGATGGGAAAAAATACCGGTATTCAAATATGGTAGTGCATCATCGGCATTGTTGACTGGAGTGAGTGGCGTTACCTCATCTGTATTTGTTGTTGGTGTTGGAGCAGCTCTTTCAGTGTCTGAGTCCTCAGTTTTCTTCCTTTTACCTTGTTTACCAACATACTTCTGGAAACAGGCACTCATATCGTGCTAATGTATTCTGAAATGGTAGTACATAAATAAATTAATATACAAGTGCTGAGAAACATTTCAACCCACCAAATATTATTCATAGCTGATTTCAATTCTGAAGAATATTGTGATCTACAAAAGTGAGTGATGTTTTCTACCTTCATCAGATGATCAAAAAGTGTGTTTGTTGTTTGATGACACTTAGCATTATTTCAGCGGAAAGACTTCCACCTGTATCCCCCTTAAATTTCATTCTAGTCACCTGAATATATATACCTCGGCCTACCTTTAGAATACAGCACCACAAACTTTAAAAATACGTCATAATACCCTTTTACGTAATGTTATGTGATTTTGTTCTAACGCACGTTCTCGAAACAATGCCCTATGACGCCTGCATGGCAACACGGTTGTCTGGCTCAGCGAGTGTGTATAAGCTCCGCTCACTGGTGTTTCATCTCTATGAGCTATGTCATTGCATAAGCCCAACGATGTTGAGAGTTTCCAGTAGTTGCATACCGGCGGATGCGTAATATTTTGCAAGCACCAGTTTGAAATATTTTTCTTTTTTCACTAATACTCTCATATTTATTTGTATTACGGGCTGCTGAGGTGTTATGTTTTGTGTATTTTGTATTTTGTAATTTTAATTTACATATATATTTTTGTCATTCAGTAATTTGCACCATTACATAGAAAAGTGTTTTATTAGTATTTTATTTTTCGAAGCGGTAATAATGCATTACACTAGACACGTCAGTCGTGTTTGTGCCGGTTTGGTCAATGCATTCTATTTATTAGGATTAATTCAAGGGATTGGGGCTAGGGCTAGGGCTAGGACTAGGACTAGGACTAGGACTAGGGTTAGGGATTTGGGGTTAGGGTTTGGGGTTTAGGGTTAGGGTTGGGCCTAATGCAATATAGTAGGTACATGTCCGGTGGTTCGGTCAATGCATTCTATTTATTAGGATTATTTCAAGGGGTTAGGGTTAGGGCTGAGGGTTTAGGGTTTAGGGTTAGGGTTGGGGACCTAATCCTATATAGCAGGTACATGTCTGGTGTAATACGTGAGTACCATTTGTTGTTTTTCCTTTTTGCATTTTAATACTTTTTTTTCACACAAAAACGGGAAACCCAAAACGTCGAAAGTACATTATGAAATGGTTTAATGTAGAAATTTTGGGCTAATGGAAATTGGTCTGGAATTTGCACTCAAGCCTCTTTCACACGCAACATAAATTTTGTAAAGTAATGATTCGAAGGCTAACTCACCCGAAAGTGCCGCCACTACACATGCTCATGTCTCCCTCGTTCTTTAGTGCGATCCACATTATCCTTACAGTGTTCCCTACATCACTTTTCTGTCACAAAATCACCGATTTATATAAAAGCGTCATTCATGATGCACCGTGGAAATCTACATATGACGTCAACAACCCTTTTCAGTTTGAGGCATATCGGCTCATTCCATGCCCACACGTTAATTTGTAGATTACGGAATGGGACGAGTGTGCCAAATGGCATCGGATCCATTCGGCAATTGTCCGGAGAATAAAATCACGAGACACCAAGTCTACCTGTAGCATTCGTAATTGTCCGTGACCTATTCGACTCTTTCCGTTCATTTCCGTGACGTCACAGGAATGACTCGATAAATTTGCACATTTCGCAACAGTGTGGACGTAGCTCAGTCGGTTAGCTGTCGAGCTAACAATCCGAAGGTCGCGGGTTCGCGTCCGACGGGTTCTCACAAACTGGTTGCTTGTCTTAATGACACGTCACCTACAGCAGAGATCGTCCTCACGAGAAGTTGTGGTGCTGTATTCTAAAGGTGCTCCAATATCTGTCCTCATCTGATAAGGATGAGTTTTAACATGTTTCTTTAATTGGTCTGAACATACTGAAAGACATATCCAACTTCTAAAAATGCTGCTCAAAGAAATGTCTTCCTCATCGTAAAAAATTAGGGGATATGGATGGACGTCTTACCACAAAACAATTACTAGAGAACTCACAAAATGACTAAAATTCAAAATATATAATAGGGTTAGGTTTAGAGTTAGGTTTAGGGTTGGGGGAACGGAAAGGAACTCTTTCCCTTGTGACCCTGTAATTTCCCATGCAGGAATTTAAACAGGTTTGTTTCATCCATAACACTAATTCCAATTATGACCATAATTGATTATTAACTTAATATGGACGAGAATTGTAAGATCGTTGTAAAAACATTCCAAAATTGGGCATTTGACTGTATGCCACCGGGAAATCCCTGAGTGTTTTGACAATTATCTCTTTTCAACCAAGTCAGTTATATCATTTTAATCACTTGTCTTATATGTGCATTTTGTTATCTAATGAGCACAGGTCTAACCTATTAAACGCCCCTATTCCGATTCTAATTTCACCTTGTTGCGCACATAATGGTCGGTCTAGTTTCGTCCATACATTCGTACAAATTCGTATAAAAGCCGACACCGGTCAAAAATGATATCGTTAGCCCTCGTGATCTTGGTTGTACGTTTGGTGCGAAATATGTGATCATCTCAATTGCAGCTTCCGTTTCGTACAAACCCTTCTGTTTTACCTTTCAGAGTGATTGACATTAGTTATAAACTGTTAATTTATTCTCATACGATCATTATTTAAGTAATCATACCCCAGAGTCTTCTTAAAACAGAACATGTATTTATTAAGCCATCTTTTACATCAGACACTCCATAATTCTGCCACCTTTTCCAAAATGGCGCGTTCAACAAGGCATGATGGGAAATAGAATAGGTGACACTACTCTTATAATTTGGGTCTTGTTAGAATTTTTCATGAGTGCATCGGACCGACAATTAATGACATAAAAAGGCTTGTGTATAGGCACGTCAATTTCTGGTAAAAATATGTTAGATATCATATTGAAAACTTTGGTTCATCGCTATGAATACCCACCCCCCTAATTAGCATTTTCCGTAATGGCTGCCAGCAAAGTTGAAACGTAACTGTGTGCATGTAAACTCAGTGATAACCCGACCATTATGTGATCACATTCAGCAATACGATGTATTTGTTTACTTGCTCAATTGTATACTTGTCTACTCGGCTTGTCTGAACCCTGAGTGTTGTCCAGAATGGCCACTAGAGCACCACAGACCAGTGAGTTGAACTGGTATGCGAGCAGTGTTAGTCGCCAAGAATGTCAACAATGGGTAAACCTGCCGGCCCCGTGTCAGAAAGAATGAAATTAAAAGGTATGTGTGAGGAGGGTGAAGATCAGACATTGGTAGAGATGCGGCAGACTCAAGAGGAGAACGACGGTAGTGTGACAACCATTAATTTATTTGACACTTATGAAGATGTTGATAAATTGAAATCACGAGTTCAGGGTATACCAAACGAACGTTCGGAGGCCAGTGACACCAAGGAACATGCAGATGATATCGGCGCATTAGATTGTGATCTTAAAGGAAATGGTTCCATAGACGTGCTCTATAACACCTACGATAAGGAGAGTGATGCAAGTCATTCAATTTCAAGTTCAGACACCATATTGTGCAGTGAAAGTGTTGATGGTCAAAACTGTAGCCAAGAGAGTAATGCAACTGTGTTGAACGGCAACAGTGAGGACAATTCCAGTACAACTGGGGAATCAACTGAGACATCTACAGCACAACCAAAGTCAGCTATTGATCAAAATGGTCATATTCCTTGTCAAGATCAAAACAAGAAAGCTCCGAAAGGGATAATGTCTGGCCTGGTGATGTCTCCAGTAACGTTAACGCAAGACGTACCTGTGTCAGTTGGGAGCACAAGCAATACAAACAGACTGTCTCGTGTGTTAGAAAGTATGCCTTTACCATTGTTGTACATCCCTACAACAAAACAACTTGTAGCAGGACAGAATTCTTCTGATAGTAACAAATTTGGTAAAAGTCACATTAATGATGGGGAAACAGTTGTGGGAAATGAAGATTCAGTTTGCAATGGATCTCAAGAAGGGTCTGTCAATGGATCTGATGTCAAAGAGGCAGGTACTCCAGATGGAAGTGATGGTAGTGCCAGTTATTGTCCTGATTCTTTGACAGTAAGAGAAGCAGATCAGATCACACTACACAGTGTTGATTGTCTTTTACCTCATGTATCTAGTGGAGATTCAGTTATGAGAGGATACACTGATGTGTCCAGTTTGTCCAGTATAAGCACTGGAACTGACTTCTCCATATCAGCAGCCTCTTTAGGAGAAGAATATGGGGAGTCAAAGAGTATATCTCTTGATATGGAAGATGGTGGATTCATGGATGTCAATTTGCATTCAAGAAACTCCTATGAACGCTGCCGGAATGTGTCACAGGACAGTGGTATTGAAGACAAGGGTGGCAAGTCTAAGCGCAAAACATTTTCAGGATTTCTCTCAAGGTAAATACAAACAAATTTCCAAAATAGATTTTCATCCACACTTTATAGCTCATGGAGTAGTCTAAACTTATTGATTAACCAAGATGCCATCATTTTTTATCTATTTGCATTGTTTAGTAAGACTCTTGTCCTTTTTCATTCAACAGCTGAATGTCTAAAACATGCCATACAGAAGGTTCATCATTTATATGCATTGAGCCATGTGACAATGGTTTAACAAAAACATTGCAATCATTTCCATTCTCCACTAATATGTATCTGGATCATATGTTTGTAAACAACTGTAATAGCCCAATTGACGGCTTATTATTGTACATTTAGAATATGCCGAAGATGTCAACATACAATGACAAGTATGCTGCAGTGTTTTCTGATTACACCATCTCCTGCTTATTTCATAACACTACATTTTCTGAACCATAGTTAGACAGATAGTTCTATTGAAAACTGTACATTGTCTTGTTTTTAGATGCAACATTGTTACACTACATTACAGTCACATTCAAAGATGATGTACAACTGCAGGTGATATCATTCACAAAAATTACTTGAAATGCACAATGGATTCATTTGTTTAACTTGAGCAATTTCACTTTCAGCATTTTGTGATTTTTCTTTAAGGTTTCGATTTTTTAATCAGTTAAATTTCAGCATGTTCAGAGGTGTCATACTTTTTTAGTTAGAATGGCAGGTTATTCCAGATGTTGACAGCTGGGACTTGCACTGAGAACATGGAGCAGACTTGAAGATACAGGTGGAGCTCACTGTATGGTTTCAAGTCTGGTTGATTCCAATGAAAATTTAACTGTTATCTTGAGAGTTGCTGCGATATGTAGAGAGTGGTATTGTACAAAATAGCTGAAACATTGATAAACCGAATGAGAAATGAGAAATACAGGTTAAATGCATTTAATGGAGATATGATGATAAAAATTGTGGGACATACTACGATAGAAACATCAACAATACAGTTGACAGGTGTGATGTTTGTTTTGCTTTTAATTGTCTTGTATTGTTGATCATTCTGAAGAACTAGAGGCAACCATCATTACTGGTACCTATTTTAGCTTAAACTTCAATTCCCAAGCCAAGCTCAGATTCATATTGAAGAGTGCCAGCAAGATTTTCAGTGACAGTCTGGACTGTATCAGATAGTCATTATGTTTTATTAATCACACACATATACTGACTATTGACCTGCGGGGTACATGCTTGGTATTTATGCGAGCCGTATGCCTGCACTCTGCCTGTTGGTAGTGTTGATTACCAAATTACCAATATTCTAATGATGAGGACATCAGGTCTCTGCTTGATGGATTCATAAGGGTATTGATTCCACTGGCCATTCAACCAGCAAATTCTGCAGCTTCATTAATTTATGTCAGGCTTAATGAGCTCGCTCAGGTGATAGAGCAGTGTTTTGATTGTCAGACCAACTATTTCCTTACCATCAGGACAGTTATTGCTTTCTAGTCATGACATTTATGAAGACAGATTTATTGTGAAGTGGTCTGTCTTGATGTATGACATGTGCACAAGTGTGCTGACTTGACAGATTTTTCATATGATCTGTGTGGACACAGTTTTCGATGTCCATTTCAATTCTTTTCTGTTGACCATTGTGTTTTTTGAAAAGTAATGACCACGAAATACGAACTTACACTTGTGGGAGGGGCATGTGAGCTAGACTTACAGTTGATAAGCTTCCTTTTGGTGGAAGCCTCTGCGGCTGAGTGGATTAAATCACTGACGATGTGAGCTGGCAATTTTATGCATGATTCTGACTCTGAGAGTGAAGGTTCGAATACTGGATTTGATTCAACCCCAAATATAACAGAATCTGTACTTTACAGAGAAAGTGTTATCCCCAAAATAACCTATGTTACAATTGTTATTTTGTGACTATAAGCATGAAAAGTTAAAAATGTCAGAATAAAATACTGAGCAACCGTTATGTAACAATCAGTTGAAATCCATCTACGTTTTGTTTGTATAGTGTTGTCCACTCACTGTTCATGGTGAAAGTTATTTTGAGATTTACAGACAAGTTTTAACCAGAATGGACTTGTGAGAGTTCACATTAATATTTTCGTGGGAAAAATATTAATGTTTTCAATAAGACACAGCATCAATATTTCACATTCCCGTGTACATGTTTCGGATTGCTGAAGGTTTTCATTATAATCAATAATGTCAGGTTTAATATCATTCCGTTCTTTCAGTGTTGTCACAACCCCTAGTGTACAGTACACAACCATGTGCACTTAAAAGAACCCACGAATCTGTTGGTAAATGACCAGATGGTGGCCAGATGAATACGTGCAAACACCTAGTTGCGTTGTACAGCAACATGCAGTAAACTTGGACCAAGTACTGTGACTGTGTCCCTGTCCACCCAGCTATGGATGGGTTCCTCAAAAGGACTGACTGACTGACTGACTGACTGAGTTTGGTTTTACGCGGCTTTTAGCAATATTCCAGCAACATCACGGCGGGGGACACCAAAATGGGCTTCACACATTGCACCCATGTGGGGAATCAAACCCAGGTCTTCGGCGTGACGAGCCAACGCTTTAACCACTAGGCTACCCCACCGCCCCCCTCAAAAGGATGGGAAAGTCACATTAACTTGGTGCACCTAGTGGCTGCATGAGTTGTTTGATCCCCAGGGAGTTGAGATTGAAGATTATGATGTGCCGTTGAGATTGACAGCCAATGATTGAGGGGAAAAAATGCTTTGAGCATGCACATAGGATGGACTATAGTGGTTCACAAATACCCATATAATAATAATATTAATAATGTAGCTTTCATTTCAAACCTAACATATTCTGAATTTACAATGTAATGTTACTCTTCCATACATCTACGTTCTTGATGAAATTGCACTTTTTTTCTGGAATAATATCATATACCCCTTTCAGTATGTCCAGTGGTGCTGTCAATCAAACAGATGTGATGACCTTGTTACCTTGGTAACCAAAATGTAATGAACAAGCAGAATAATTGCCACAGGGTATATCTGATAAATATGTATAACTGCCCAATAACAGGTACATTCTTGATCTCTTGATGGTTCACGTCAGTATCTGTTGCAGTTAACACTTGTACATATAAAATGCATGAAATAATTTAGCTGCCTAGCATGCCAGGAATTTGTGCAGGGTGAGTTGTTGTATGACTGAATGCAATGCAAAGGGTCGGGAAGCTACTCGGATACTAATTACTGTATCTTAATCCGTGTGATTATAGTGATGATTGGCACTGTTAAGCTGCAGCCTTAGTGCAGAGCACTGCAGACAAATGAAATCCCATCATGGTTCTGATCAGTCTGCGTTTGGATACAAAGTTTATCTTGTGGCAAAATTATGAACTCATTCTTTGGCGAAGGCATGATTGCTTTGGATGGATGTCATTTGTGTTAGTGAGTGAGTTTACCACCACTTTGACCTGTATTTAAAGTCTTTGGAAAATAATTGAGAATGTATTCATGGTTATATCCAATTTTCTTTAGGACATTCTTCAGTAGCTTAACCAATTTGGTTGGAAGTTTTGGAATATTTTAGGTTTTTTGGGGGGTAGCCTCGTGGTTAAAACGTCCACTCGCCACGCCGAAGACCGCGTTCCATTTCCTACATGGGTACAATTTTGTGAAGCCCTTTTCTGGTGTCTCCTGCCATGAAATTGCTGGAATAATGCTAAAAGCGTCATAAAACTCACTCACTCTCTCACTGGAACATTTTATGGAACGATTATCAATGTTCTACAACATGAGACAACTAAAACATTGTAGAAATATCCTTACAAGCATCATAAACAGAAATGTGTTAATTTTAAATTGCATGAATAATGCTTACCAAACGTTCTTCTGTGCATAATATCTTAGTTTTGCATTTTTCCTCAACGAGTTTCTTTTAATGATTTTGCTGTTGTTATTTTTGATATGGAACAATGTCTATTCTATAACACTGCTGCAAATAGGTGCAAAATTGCTGGTGTGGCATTAAACAAAGTTTAATCACTCTCTGTAACACTGACATATTCATATACTCGGACTTGATTGTTGATTGAATGATGAAAACACTCAGCTTTGCTGCACCCCAGTGGTTAGAGATAATACATTTGTGTGCATGTGACCGTACGAACAATGGCTTTTGATTATGTTTCTGCTGCTCACATTGATTTGTTAATTGTTACCATGGTTACAGGGTTTTCTGTCCCCAAAATTACTTTCTGGATAAATATTATACTATTTTGCTTCTTGTACCGAACAATGACTAAAGATTATATGACTGTAGTCAGAATATGTAAAAATGGGGATCATGTTTTCCCGATGACTAGTTTGAAATCTCTATTTGATAAGAGAACAGCAGTTCTATGGCTTTGATGTCACCTTACTTAGAAACTATAAAAAGTCTTTTCAGATTTTCTTCTTTGCACTCATCTGAATATTTTGCCATTTGTGAAGTGGTAGATATTTTTTGGTTCAACGTTAGACCTGTTACCCAGCAGTTTAATGTAAGTTTGCGTTTTAAGAGAGTTCTTTTTCCACATTTTGTTGTTTTTTTATATTCAGTTGAATCCGTAAACCAATCAAAATATGTTACAAACTGATGGATTTGTGAGATTTTGAGAATCAATTGCATTTGTAAGAACCCAAAATTCCTTTAATTTCACACACTGTCTTGTCTCCCAATCAATTTTCAGCTGAACCATATTTTCCGGTAACAATTCATCACTGATGGTCACATGATTGCAAGACTGCCTTAAAATATATCTTTCATTGACTGTTATAGTTATGCATAAGAAGAATATAGAATATGGTATAAATAACATATGGAATATGGTAGTATAAAGAGCATACAGAACATGAGAGTACAAAAAACATGCAGAATATGATAGTTCCAGGGTTAATCACGTGTCAGCTATCACAACATGTAAGCGTGACTTCTGCATTGATATCAACATAGATATGTAGCTCCATTTGTAAATGACGAGGG